GCAGTGCAAGTATAGTATAAAATGTATGGATATTAATTTCATTATGATAAACATTGTGGAACAATGATGAAAAATGGGAATGGATGTGGCGACGTAAAACTGACACAAAACAACAACAAACTTTTGCCGAGCCAATTGGAGAGTTTCATCAGCAGCACGTGGTGAAAACCACCAATGAGCGCTCAGCTCGAGATACCAGCGAGTCGTTTCCCATCAAGCATTTCGCTTCCGCAGCCCGTGGAGAGGAACTGCGCCGCCTCGCCGCGCCTCGCTCTCAAGGCTGCGGGCGTCTTTGTCCCGCGAGATTTCAACGTCTCATGTAGGCGGGCCTCCAGAGCAAGTCGGACAAAATGACTAACCATCATGCAACGCACGAGCAAGACGTTGATCGCAACTGCGCAGGTCTGCGCAGGTCTTGCTTGTCTCAAACAAGCCTAATGTAAACTTTTGAATAATGTACGTCTTCATGTTTGAATGTAATAATTATGTTGTTTGTTGTTTGTGGAATCATTTATTGAAAAATGAATCTGAACTTTTTGATCTATAACGATTATAAACTGAAGCAATGTAAAAATGAGCCCCATTAACTGAGTTTTAAACATCAGCATATCCGGTCCTAGTCCGGTGATTACCTGCTAACGGAAACTCTGCTACACAATTCTTATTATTATTATTGAAACATGACCGGTAAGTTTCAAATTTTGTCCGGTAAAATAAATTCTGTCCGACATATCCGCTTACATTCATAATGTCAGCGGAGGGAGGGGAAGCGGCGCTGTGGAAGAGCAGAGTGGCGAGGGAGAGCTGTCATCTTCCCTTTTCAAGCTTCAAACATGTATTTATAGTGTGATTTTGGAAATAAAAATATAATATTCTGAAAGCCAAGACTTTGTTTATTTAAAATCAAACAAAACACCCGATCCCCGAAAAACTAGTTTTTTTACGCAAATCCACGTTTATTTTGAAATGAGCCGTTGTGACTTTCGACTGATTTCGATAGAGCGGGTCACATATGGCAAATGTGTGGTTGTGGGGAACCAGGTCAATTAAAGTACTTATTTAACTATTAAATACATTGAGTTTGAGTAAAATACTTGGTTACTGATTAATTTAGGTTATAATATATGAAATTGCAAAGCAAAACTGCTGTAATTGATTTATTTTGTCCTTTGGTATTTTTGAAAGGGTTTCAACCTGAAAGAATCCTAATGTGTCCTTGAAAAGTTGAAATAAAGAAAAGGAAAAAGGATTCCAGTTGTCCCTCAAGCCTCTCAAATATGGGCAAACACTCAAATAAATGCCAAAAACCCAGAGAACTTGACAATACTTATCAGAATAAAAGTATGTTAAATAACACTGCTACCTAGTTAATAACTCTACTTTACTCAGTGGAGGCTCGTCCATTGAGGAAAGGGAGGACCATCCTCCCTACAATTTCAGAGAAAAATAAACTTTGAAGAGAACAATAAATACACCTCAATTTAAAAGATAAGTCTGTTAAAATACAGATAATAGCCCTGGCTTTGGGACTGAAATGGGGCTAGAGAGGACGAGCCTGGGCGGGTCTAGCCAGAGGCTCTGGATTGGGCGCCTATATCATCAGTGAACCAATCAGCGGATCTGACTGCGCATCAGAGTGTTGATGGGGAGGCTTATCAGCGATATCAGAGTTTTTTCTGAACCGGGGAACAGGGGCGCTGCGCCCTCTTACCAAAATCAATTCCTTGAATTAGGCTTTGATTATGTTCTGGCCCGCCATCTTGCGGCTCAGCAAAAAATTGGCCCACGGCCAAACTTACTTGCCTACCCCTGGTGTAGAGTCTCTAGATGAGTTTACAGTAGTCCCTCGTTCTTATTAAACATCCATGTTGTAGTCCGCTGTATAGAAAACTGTAGTTTCCATAGTTTCCCCACAGCAGCAGACGCACAAAATGACGTCCGCTGACGCATCATAAACACGTCGGATAGTGAAAGTGCAGTCGGATTCTCGAAAGTACCGGGTTGCGTTCCAATAGTCCATTTAGCTTAGGAACCTTCCTAACGGAGTGAAATGACCCGGAATTACGTCACTGGCAGCCATGATAAGTGCCGTTCCAATTCTCCAAATGAAAGGAAAGGAGGTTTCAAACTTCCTTTATAACCTCCTTTAGCTTAGGAACCACTGGACCTCCCTAACCGAAAGGAGAGGAGAAAATGCTGCCCCACAATGCATTGCAGCCGCAGCATTTGCCGTCACTCAACAGTCGGCCGTTCAGGAAAACAACCGATTATGGGAGAAATGATATCATGAAAGTTACGATGCTTATTAAGCATTTTAAAACGTATGTGGTAAGTTGCCAAAGTGCTTTGTTTTGAACGTTCATCAGTATTATAATCAAAAAGAGAAATATGAACTTTAGTTTTTACTGAAATGATCAAATAAAGTCAACATTTCACAGTCTTTACTGAGCTGTGTGGTGTTTGTTCAACTTTTAAAAGATGTTTGAATGGTGATATACACAGTGATAGATGTTAAGGACTAACGTTTATAATAAATACATTTGAATTGATTTTAAGCTATTTTCATAGTTCATACAATCGTACGTATTGGGATCATTTGTATTAATGTGGACCGGAGGGAGAGGGTGACGAGCATAAGTTTCACTTTCCTTTTTTATTTCAATTCCAACTTTGGTCATGAAGAATATGTTTCTCTGTTGTCCACGTTCATAAAGCATAAAGCAACAGCATCAGAGCACGGTGCAGAGTCTCTAGATGAGTTTACAGTAGTCCCTCGTTCTTATTGAACATCCATGTTGTAGTCCTCTGTATAGAAAACTGTAGTTTCCATAGTTTCCCCACAGCAGCAGACGCACATTCATGAAGTCCGCTGGCGCATCATAAACACGTCGGATAGTGAAAGTGCATTCGGATTCTCTAAAGTACCGCGGTCTCTTCTCCTAAATCCTTTTGAATTCTCCTATCCACTATCCCTTAACCCCGTGACGTTTCACTCAGAGGTCAAGGAACAGGAGATAGGGTTAGACGTTAGGAGCTGATTTTTGGATTATCCGACCGCAACCCAGGTACTTTTCGTGGGAGAAAAAGGTTCCCATTTCTGATTGGCTGGGCGGATTGCAAACCACGCCCCGTAAAACTCCCAAAAAGTTTTGTGAAGCCGCCATTTTATTATCCTCGCATTAGCATTATTAGCATTAGCCCAGCACACAAACGCAGAGAGACTAACTTATAGCAAAACAAAAGAAAACATGGGAGCGGTGGAGATGAGGAGGTGTCGGCGTTCTGGCGATTTACTCGGAAGGCCCAGCTCCGGGGACTTTGGGCGGCAGTATACGCCGTGAAGTTGTTTGCGGCCTGCCAGTAAACCCAAAGCAGAAGAAGTGAGGTCAGCGGCTTCATTTGCCTAATCCTCCCCCAGGGATTTATTCCGGTGTGAACGCGATCTGTACTTAGTTCATAAGAACTAAAGAGTTCTCATGAATTAAATTCTGATGAACCTTTGTGGGAAAAGTACTGCGGTGTGAAAGCTCCTATTGGCAACACTCAGAAATGTCTTTGATCAACTTCAGAATGTAAAGTTGCCAAATAATTGTATCACTTCCCAACGCTTGCTAGGATATTGTTCATTTGTGATAAAGCAAAATGAACAATTAGACTGATTCAAATTTCCGTTTCAGAACATTACATAACGTGACCTTAAATAGTTTACCCTCGTAAAATTCAGTCCAAGAGCACAGTGTCTTTTTTGCTCATAAATACTTGTTTTGAAGTGACTGGAATAGAATGTACAAGTTTAGCAGAACTGCATTGTAGCAGAGAAGTTTGATGCTGAGAAATGTTAATGGTTTGCATTAACAATGTATCTTAATCTTGATACGGCACGACCACATTTAAACAAATGATCCGTATGAATGTTTTGTAAGGTTTTTCATGGTTCAGAGACCACTAATGTGAAACTGTCAACACATTTTAACAATTATCGTCTTCGTAATTACACATCGTCGGTTCCATTTTTAGTTTCAATTGAATGCTGTATTTGTTGAGAAAAGCGATTTAGCTGTGACTGATTATATTACTGTAGGGGTCGTTTTATCCTATTAGATGAACCCTTGTGGGTTGAATTAGTGATTTAAAGGCTTTTATTGCTGACAAGCAGGATGGGGCTAATATGATTAGTCTGGGAATATAGAGTGAAGGAAGTTTAAAGAAGAGAGTAAGACAGGCCAACATAACCCTCTCGAGTATCACTTCTTATCAAAGCTAGTGAGAACAATAGAGGATTAATAACAACTCTGGCATAATGCAACAATTAAGTATTACTTTTAGAAGTGTCTAAATGGGCAATACAAAGACAGATCCTTGCCTTGAGATGATTTTGAGTTTAGTGCATGCTCAGGCCATGACCCACCTGAATTCATTATTACCAAATTGTCCAATCCAACATTGGAAACAAAAAAACACCGGTCTTGGCAACAAAACATCAAGTTTGTTTTCCCAATCTCACTACCAGACTGTGAACATCTATTTTAATAGCATCTGAGAATCAAAGGCATAGTTGCATGCTGCAGAGATGGTAACAGAGACCCGCCACTTTCTTTCCCCTCTGTTAACAAAGAGTCCTCTGTGTGAAAGTTCAGATCCCGCTGAGGCTACATATCAGAGCAAGGGTCTTTTAGGGAGAACACAGCACGGAGTCTTGTCGAGCGTATCAGCAAACTGAGTACATAAACAACCACAAAGCCTGATAAAGAAGAACAATCTACAACATTACAGCAGTGTGATTACACCAGGATAGTAACTGTGTTGCCTCATCATTCTTGTTACATTTCAGTGAACATGAGAAAACCAAAGCTTTGCATAGTGTTGCTGTGTGAAATAGGATCAAGTGATGCATTTCAAATGTTCCCTGCTAATGCCCAGCTCTTCCTCAGTATATGATACTTGTTCACCAGCGTGTTGTTTCTTTATTTGACTCTTATCCCTTTATTCTGCCTGTCCAGGTTGAGCTGCATCTGAAGCCCATCCAGTCTCTGCTGCGCCACCAGAAGCCACTGGTCTTCGTGCTCAATTCCCCCCAACCGCTGATATGGAAGATCAAGACAGAGAACCTGGCCCTGGGCATTAAACGTACCTTTCATGTGAGTCCAGCATCACTTAAAGCCTTTAAATCCTACTTCCTAAAAACTGTGTTTTCATTTCCTCAGAGGCTAAACCGTACTCCCATTTCAGTAGCCTTCCTCGCTGAGGAAAATAATTTAAGTGATGTAAATTTGCAGAGAAGGCCCTTCCACACGCCAAAAGGAGTCTTTGAGGCATGCAGGTGCAGTCATTGTGGCGAGGCATCAATCTCTGTGCACACATTTAGTGCAAACGTATTTAGCTACAGCTGTGCAGTCTTCTCAGAACACTGGGGTTTAAGATGAGTGCAAGTTTGGCTAATATTAATATTATTTGTGTCTTATCAAATTATCAAGTAGGTTATTGTGAAAGTAGTTTTTATACTGCCAAACTCCTGCCTTACTCACATCCTGGTTTTGAAAATATATTTATCTGAAAAGTTGTGATGTGCTTTGTCAGCTATTTTCACACTCAATAACCACAGGGCCATGTCCCCCACGCCTCCCTCCCTCCTGTTAACAGTCCAGTTGATAACTTGGCAGCTGTCCAAATCAGACAGGGCGTATCCGTATCCCACAAAAACCCCTAACAACGGGGAATGTGTGGTAGCAAACACTAAACCACTAACATTTGCTGAGTAAGGAGCTGATCGCTCACCCTGTGTAATTTGCTGAAATCTGGAATTCTATTGCTAATTTATTTGTTAATAATACACTGGGGAGGCTAAAACCGATCCAGATGTGCAACATCAACAGGACACTCAATCATCGTTATGACCCAAGAATATTGACACATTTCCTCTGCATGTTATGACACGGCTCTACTCAACTCAACTAGCTGTATTTAGGTTTTCCATCAGTAAAAGTTTCCAAATAGTATGTGACACTTTTTTAGATAAAGGTAAAAAGTGAAGCTTAAAGAATGCAGACAACTGGATCTTTAGAGAGAAGCGTCTATAGCATGAAACTGGACATCCTGTACCAGCCTGCCATTTTTAAATAACCAGGCTACCGGTTATAATAACTGCAAGTTTTTTAATTCATTTGTCCTAGAAAAAAGAAAGAAAATGGCAACAAAACAAACCAGACCGAACAATATGTTGGTTGCAGATGAAAGGATCCAAGAGAGCCGCGTTGAGGAGGATTTCAAGGCTATTTTACGCAATATCACTACGATAATTAGCTAAAATCCCCCCCCCCCCCCCCCCACACTACTACCAACAGTTGAAAACTAAAATAATATTTGTAAGAACTTTTAAAAGTTACTGTCTCGCCCCAGAGTACATACTGTATGTGGAAGGAAGAGAAGATGTTTTGGTGGAGGGATATCTCAGTGTGCAGTAGTTGGTGCTCCGTCCCCTGGAGAGCCAGACTTTTTTTAGTGAAGGTACCAGGGGGACTCGCTGGGAAACTTAATAAAAAATGTAAAAATGGAATCCTTCAGTGCCCATGTTTAAAGCCTGTGTATCACATGAGAAAATCACAGCAAAATGAGACCCAGAAGCCTCAGCCTTGGCTTAACCATACTATATTGCGAGGAAAACTTTTTTTCTTTCTTTGCCTTTATATGCTCCGAAGGCTTTCCTGCATTTTCGGCTTCCCAGAAGTAATCATTTTCAATTGTATGTTAACACCACAGCATTCCCTAAGAATGCAGTATCAGGTACACAAATGATTCCCACATGTGGTCCAGTGTTTTCTTGCTTACCTCTCATGTGCATAATGTTCTGCCGTGAAAGCCGATGTGACACGGAGAAAAAAAAATGAAATTGCAAAATCCTTGCATGATGCACGGGCTCATCTACACACACGCACACATTTATTATATAAAGAGTCTGTGGACGTTTTGAGCAGGCAGCGTATTAATGTGCCTCTTCTACCATATGGAACTTTTTTAGGCTTATCTGACATATGACTTCCAGTTGATATATAAGTGAACCATTGAGAGTGTTTAATGTACATTTAAAAAAAATGGGTGCAGTTAAAGGCTAGGGTACAGCCTTTCATTCATCTGTCATACAAACACAAATGTTTAGAGAGCATTACTTTAATCAATTCAGATAATCTGTTTAAAAAAAAACTTACTTAATAGAAAACACAACATGAAAGGGTGAGGCGTGAGTGTCGAGTTCTCCTTCTAATGATTATTTCCTGTAGTAATGAGAATAAATGCTCTCATGTCAAGGGAAATTGTTGCATATCACGCAGATGGATGCATCTGGCCAGCTTGTATTTCCCTTAAGCTGTGATAATGTGGGGCCAGTGAGATGGATGTTTGTGCAGAGAGCAGCAGGTCAGCATCATAGTAACTGTCTCCCCTTGTCAGTGGTGGCAGACACATAACAGCTGACAGCCTTCATTAGGCTTACAGTCCAGGCAGAGCTGTTGCTGTGCGTCTAATGATGTTAGACACCAGTGCTTTTCCACAGAAACAAGTTTTCCTTTTTTCTTTTATCTCTTATAAAAATGGGCTGCTTTTAGTGATAAGATACAGCCTGTAATAGAGGAATGTGTATAATCATTTTATTTTCAGTAGCGAACATACTTAGCTATTTCTCAAAGCAACAATATATTTTCTGAGACAAACCTGGAGTATTAGCTTCCTTTGTTGGCCAAACAGTATGACACTTGTCTGTCTCATGATGATTGTGACGAAGGTAACTTCATCACTATGGACTGACTGCTTCAGGCCGGGTAATTGTGTGCACCTGGTGTCCTGTGTTGTCTCCTCCCCCCCTCACCTGTGTCTTGTTGTGCTGATTAGTGTGTGTATTTAGGCTCTGTTTCCCTGTCTGTTGGGAGGCTGGCAGGGAGTGTGTGTGTGAGATCCTGGTGGCTGCAGGCTGGGCTCACGTGAACAGCAGCAGCAGGATTGAGGCTGGTGGCTGTGTGCACAGGAACAGCAAGATTGAGGCTGTGTCCTGTGCTCAAGTTTTAATAAATGCCCACACCGGGTTATATTTTTGGACGTTCTGCCTCTGCCTCCTTGCTTGGTCTGGGCCGCTCAACGGTCAGCTTCACAATGATGAAGGGAATCAGAGTGAAGAAGGAGGTCCCTGCAGTCAGACAAAGCTGAGCTAATGGCTTTGACTGGCTCCGGGGGCCCCCACTGAATTTGGTGTTAAGTATTTTGTGTTTGAGTGACAGCACTGAGCCATGTGGCAGTGCTAGCTGTCGGTATCTGACTGCACATGGCTGTGAGCCAGGCCCAGGTCTTAGGTTCTCTTCACAGTGACACCTCCTTAACATACCACACGACTCAGATACCTGAGACAGACACCGTCCCACCGTAAGAACAATGTTTTGACTCCTTTGATCAATGATGAATTGCAGATGAAAGTTCACTACAGATGCACACTTTTGTAGATTTTGCGTAAAGTGTAAAGGACGACCAATTTTTTGGGGCACTTGGGTGTTTCTATTGAGCAGCTAACATTATCATTAACTGTGATTGCAGTCAGAATCAATTACAAAATATAAACTACATTAATATAATTGGTGTTAATCACAGGGAGGCACTGATAGAAGCTTACCAGTTATAGGAACATTTCTGGGCTCATCCCTGAAAGGCAAGTTGTGTGAAACTACACTCCAAACTCTCTGAATGCTGAGTCTTTTACTGCAGCCCATGTGCTCTGCTCCAACATATGGTCAAATACCAGGCTTTGCAGGTCTGTCTCACCTAGTTACATTTGGACAATCACTTTGGGGAGGGGTTTGAGGAACAGTCAATTAAACTAAGAACTTGTATCAGTCCATAAAAGTACATGTGTTCCATGACCACAAAGGTCTCGGTGTTAGTGGCCTTGCCAGTTCCCACACTCTCTGATCGCTGCCTCCCAGGTGGAGAAGTTGTGTGGTCAGATCATACAGTAACAGAGTAAAAAGGAACTGCTTTTGAGCTTAACACTTCAGAACAGAAACCCACTTCCAGACCTCCCTCACTCTGCCTGTCCGCTGGAGAGGCCGTTTCCTGGGACTAATTGGACTCTGATTCGGGCCTGCCAGTCCTTGTTTCCTGGTCCTGGCGCTCTGGGCTCCGCGGACACAGATGGGCCGCTGGAAAAAGCTACAGAGACGCTGAGCACGCTGTTGCTGTTGGCCTCTGGACCCTGCCGCCTTAAAAAAATGCAAGAATCCAGATTTTTGTTGTAAAACATGTTCTCAGCAGTAATCCTTGTCAATCATCCGCAGGCAGAGATCATCACGGGTCTAAAACGCCATGAAGTATGAGCATTGAAATCATGCCAGATTTATTTTAGCAAGGGACATAAGGCCTCGAAGTGAGACACATGTGCAGAGTGATCTGTGTTGACTTCTTGGCAGGGTGTTTATATTTCTTTTTGACGAGAGGAGGAGGGCTGTGTTGCATCTGTGCTTGAAAGGCTTGATCTGGATCAAATGTTTAGTGACTCTGGATGGAACAACTCTGTAAAGTTGTGCTGTTGGCTTGTGCTGCCTATTGTTTGTTTGCCAAGCTTTGCCTGTGTTGCGTTCACAGGGATAGGCTCTTTCGCTCTCTCACACGAGGACTACTCTCCTCAGTGTAATATTTTATGGAAACCATGGGTAGCCGCTATTGGTTTTTATTTGCAGACAGAAATGGCAGAGTAAGGCTCCCGAGTGGCGCTGAGACATATGGTTTTGTTTGCCCCACAAACGAGCCTGCCAGATAACAGGAACATGCATGAGCAGCGTGATTAACTCCCGTATCTCATCAAGACACGAGATCAAGCATTTATCACATTCATATCACCAGAGAGTTATTGCATGCTCATACTCTTTATCCACCCTTTCCATCCCCCTCCTCTGTTTGCAACACCTCTTCACTTCTAAACATTTGTGATTTCCCAGGCTCTGGGTGTTGCTCAGCGGAGGATTACAGCTCTGTGGTAATTGATCTCAAACATTTGGTATGCCTTCTCATTTTGACTGCGCATATGGCTGTAATATGTTGGTGCTTACAGGCAGAAAGGGTACTGTTGGATGTTTAGGGTCATATACTGTAGGGTATTGGCAGATGTGCTTCTATCACTATAGATCATGGGTGTCAAACTCAATTTCATCTCGGGCCTCTAGCATCATGGTGGCACTCAAAGGGCCAATTTTATATATAAGACTATATAAAAATACATATACTGTATAAATATTTAATATTTATAAAATAATGTATTATATTTAGGGCTGTCAGTCGATTAAAATATTTAATCGCATGATTGTCCATAGTTAATCGCAAATTAATCGCACATTTTTGATCTGTTCTAAATGTACCTTAGAGGAATATTTTTCAAGTTTTTAATACTCTTATCAACATATGAGTGGACAAATATGCTTTATGCTAATGTTTATTATCATTTGAACAATGACAAATATTCTCATGAATATTAAACACAACAACTTCTGAACATTACAAATATTCGCCTCAATTCAACCTGGAACCTCTCTCATACAATAATACAATACAAAGTGTGTGTGTGTGTGTGTGTGTGTGTGTGTGTGTGTGTGTGTGTGTGTGTGTGTGTGTGTGTGTGTGTGTGTGTGTGATGGATCGTTGGAGCTATGTGCAACTCAAGGCATATGCTCGAACGGGAGCTGCCTGGACGCTGCAATCATGTTGCGCACTACCCGTGCTGAGTGTGCTGATTTCTCGTACAATGTCCCACTGTCTGGCTGCCTGCATAAAGTCAAGTGCTCGGCGCAGTTGTGGCGAAATGTCGCTCCTCTGTTTTCATTTAAGCAGCTCCTTATATCCGTTAGCGCAGCTAGCTAGCACCAGATGCTAACAACAACAATGCACGTAAGGTCTCTCTCTCGCTCGCTCGGGCCACACATACACACACCCTCCCGGTCCTCCCAACAGCCAGTCGGTGCCTGCCGGTGAGCGTGGAAGTGTGGTCTGCCACAAGCGGGCGGCAGGAGCGGGGCTGTCAGCATCAGCTTGTAGATGGTATTTTAAACTCGATGCGCTCTGAAACTACGGGGCGGCCGAGGAAAAAAATACACATGCGTTAATCGCGTTAAAATAATTAGTGGCGTTAATTTGTTTTTGCGTTATTATGATAGGATACTAACTTCATAAGTCTCTTCAGTGAGAATGTCACAAAATGATTTAAAAAGAAAAGCCAAATTCTGGAGAAAAAAAGTAAAAAAAAAAAAAAAGACATTTTGAAAAAAAAGACGAATTCTGAGAAAAAAGTCTAATTTGAGATGCATTGTGGGACATGTAGTTTATGGGCAACGTGCTTCTGTAATGCGGCATGTAACCGTATAATAAACATATTATATTCTTTGCAAGCTCTTGTGGGGCAGCATAAAAATAAGTCACGGGCTGGATTTGGCCCCGGGCCTTGAGTTTGACACCCCTGCTATAGATATTAGATAATGAAGATTAAGGTGTTCTATGACCATTTCAGATACATTAAAATAGTACTCTTAAACAGATATAAGTATGCTAACATTAGTTATTCTATATAAATGGAGAAAACAGTCACCATTTGAGTTGTTGGAGTTGCATGCCTGCCTGCAAATACCATTTAAAAGCACAAGTACATGAGTTTCTCCCATTACCAACATGAAAGCATGCGTCTCAGTCCCCACGGTGTGTAACTGACTTTATAAGTCTGAGGAATTCCTCTTAAATCGATCCAGTTTTCTTGTACTAAACACATTACAAGGCCTGCACAGGTAACACAATGTACCTCCAAGATACTTGTTGGCAGTAATAGCAATAGGTTGCTTTATAAGAGATCTATATTCTTATATAGAGGGTTAATGCTTTAGTTGGCAGTGGGCCGAAGAAGAATACATATATTTTTGAAATATGAGTGCTTTAACAACAACATTAACAGTTTTAGAGTATATTGATTGACAGCTTATGGAAACAGTTTATTTCAATCATTATTATATAATTATATTTACATATTCTATTTATTTATATTTATATATTCCACATATGCCCATGGAAAACAATGTTCTTTCCTTTCTAGCTTATCGAGGGCTCATCAAGTTTATTGCCAGATACGTTTACACATACAACCTCAAATCAGCTCCTTTTGGTAGTCTTAGAGATCGAAGGCGCAGAATGGATGCAATCAGGCGTTAAACGCTATGTGGAAGAGAAGCTTAATACATTATTAATTTGAGGAATAGAGAATGAAAAAGTAGAGTCAAGGTTCGTTTCAGTCAACAAAACAATCACACAAGCTCCTGTGATCTCCACTAAAAGCAGCAACACGTTAAGAGAAGGGGAGAGAGGCACGGGCGCCTGAGAGACATCGAAAGGATTTCGAGCACCTGAAGTTTCAAAAATACTAATTCACATCCCTCCTATGCAAAATAAATAAATTCAAGTCAATTACCAAGAACAAGTCCATTTGCAAAAGCCCAGTTTTAATGTATATAACATTCTTAAAACAAACATATGCAAAATAGGTTTTGGATTTGATAGATAGTTCTAGAAAAAGAAGAGGGTCGTCACTTAACATTGAATCCCAATGCCTGCTCAGAGGATTCTAATATGAAATGAAGCTATCTACACTGTGTCTGCTGTGTGCAAAGGAAGCAGCATGATTTCAGTCTCATGAAGGGGGGTGTTTGTGCATCCGTAATTTGTGTTAATTTTAGTTTTACAAAACAACACCAAGCCAGAAAATCAGCATAACACTGCTTCTCCTAAAACCTCAATGCAAGCAGATGTATGTTCTGCTGGGAAACTATACACCTATACACACACGCCAAAAATACTGTTGAACAAAAGTATAATGTCATAAATACTGCGTTTGCCCTGCAGGAAAATAGAACTGTACTGTAAGTACTTTGGGTCTGTCAACTGAGACAGAGATAGGGGGAGAGATAAAGGGGGGGGCTGTGACGGCCCTGTTTCAAATTCCTGAGGTTTTCAGTGCTCTGGATGGCCTGGAGCTAGTTTGGCTTTCAGGTTTTCCCCCTCTAATTCTTTGCGACTAATTGCAGTCGTATTTCTGCAATTAAACTAATAAGCTCTGCTGAGCTTGGCAAGGTGAGCGATGAGACTCCAGCCCCTCCTCAGCGGCTCTGGGCTCCACCTCCTCGCCATCTTTCTTTTTTGTTTCTTATCACCGTAGTAAACGCAAACAATTCAATCAAGCTGAATTCTTCGACGGAGCCTGTCTCCTCGGCCTGCAGGATTTACTGCCTCTGGTGACAATGCCAAGAACATGGAGAGGAGTGTCCAGAGGTCAGACAGATGTTGTGAATGAGAGGATTTCAACAGTTATGTCTGAAAAACTTGAACGCCCCCAAGGGATATTATTCCATTATCAATAAAGCATGATTGCAATTTAGGAAGACTTCACAACATCATCACAGAGAAGAAGTCTAACGTATTCCTGTTGGATTCAGAAGGGATTTCATGTTTTTAATTGGGCCTGCCAGCACTGTCTTCTCATGCATACAGATAGGATACCTAGGGAGAAAGAAAAACAAGCATGGAAATAAAATGAGGAAGGCTGTCTAGACCGTGTGCTTGGACTCAGTTTGGTTGTTCGCTAGGTTTTACAGTACATGTGAATGTTTATCCCTCTGAAATGAAGCATATAGTCTGAGCTCCATTAAGTGCTAAAGGGGTGGTCCCTTCAATACGGCCAGGCCAGTTTCCCTGTTCAACGCAAATTAGCACGTCCTTTATATTTTAAGAATTCTACCTTACTCAAGTTATGTTAAAATGTTTGATACGGTTTCTTCCTCATTTTTGAATTTGTTATGACATCCATTACTTTTATCACTGTATTACAAAGTGTTGTATGATGTGCAAACAATTATTGTCTTTTGAACATTAGTTTTTTATGCTTGCACTCTAACGAGCCTGTGCCTCAGATGTTATGTTATGTATTACCTGGTTTGAGTGTGTGCCCAACTACCGTCCTTCTTGTCAGTCAGTCTGTCAGTGTCAAGTTTTTTTGTTTTCTCTGTTATCCCCTTGTGGCCATTTTAAAGCAGAACTACACATTTGTGATGACGCACTACAACACAGTACAAGGTGTAAACACCGGAAACCAGACAGCATATTGTGTTGAAGAACATGTGTAAAAATACACAGAGCATATTTGTAGAAGCTTTGAAATAACAGAAAGGATTGAGCGTGTAGGATGGGTTTCACCAATGTTTAGAGAGCAGGTTTAATTTTGGAAAGGCTGAGCTCTTTTTTTCTCAGTCTGCCTGCAGGTTCTTCTTCTTCTGTTCACTTTTTATGAGCATATTCTTCTCAAGAGGGAGTTGGATTTTTGAGTGTTAAAACGTTAAGTGAAAAAATGAATATTTGATGCATTAACTAAATGAACTAAAGATGGATGCTGGACATCACCAACGCTGAAAAGAAAACCTATTACAGTGTATATCTCCTCTTTTTTGGCATGTTCTGCCTTTGTCCTCTTACACTCTTGTGTTTTCCTCTCTTCAAGGTATCTGAGGGTTCAGAGGTCCACTTCCAGCCTGGAAACTTCTCTCTTTCCTGCCAGATCCAGAAGGAGGCATTTTCCCATGGCAATGAGCATCTCCTGAACTGGGCCCAGAAGAAGTACAGAGCCGTCACCTCTTTCTCTGAGCTCAGGATGACTCAAGACATCTACATCAAAGTCGGAGAAGGTACTAGATTCCCAAAATTCCCAACATAGCTGTATGCCTCAAGGCACGCCCCCCCCATTCCCCTTCAGCTCCCATAACTTTACTTAGCTTTGTGTTTGAACCCTGGCTAGAGGTTCACATGCACTGCTCTGGGAAAATAATTTCCTTCCCTCAACGGGCTACCTGTGGTACTTCTGAGCTGAGCTGCTTACAGCCACATGCACTATTGGACCTCAGATATATACAGAAAGGGCATGGACTATGTATTTGAGTATTCTGGCATCAGGTCATTTCATGCAGTGTCACTCTAGAGCAGGGGTTCCCAAAGTGGGGGTCACAAGACCCCGAGTGGGGGTCGCGAGATGATTACAAAATAAAAATGGAAAATTAATTTTTTTTAAATTATTATTAATAATAATGGGTGCATAGACATTTTTCAGGGGCGGACTGGCCATCTGTATGATTTCCCCGCAGCGAGGCTCCCCCGTTGACTAGCGCAGTGTTTCTCAAACTTGTTCATACCAAGGACACTTAACCAATAAAAAAACACTCACGGACCACCTAACTCCACACATATCCAAAAATCAATAGGCCTGCTTACCACTGCAACAGTATATAACAGCCTAATAATGACAGCTTAACCTTCTCTACTGTATATCGCCTCGTTCACACAATAAATCAACGATACAAATACAACTACAGATTATATAAACATTTAGTTCAAATGCGATTTAAAATGCTCACAAGTTTTACACCTCTTATGAAATGTAGACTACATTTATTACGGAGTTTATGTCCGAGCCAACAGACTCACAGATCGTTGGCTACTGAGAGATATGCAAAATACACCTCATACGACACAAACCTCCGCTGTGGATTTTCAAAACAAAATACAGTAAAACTATGGTCGCAGGCCCAAGTTTAACTCTCTGAGGTCTAAGCCATATTTTCACATTTTAGGCTCGACTGGGCTTTTTTTTGTAAAAATGCTATTAAAACATGAACCTTGGTGACCATCGGGCTGGCCTGCATGGTCTGCCTACAAAACTCAAATGTAAAAACGTTTATGCAGCCCCAACAACAGCCTCTGATTCATCAACAGACTTCATGCAATGCTTCATTGGATGCATATATTAGATAATAATCTCTATCTCACTCCTAACAGACAAAACCTAGATACGACGGTTTAATTAATATTATTATTATTATTAACCAATGCCTATGTATATACACTGATGGAGTTTTCTGGTTAACAGACAAAAGTTATATTTACATTTTTTGTTTTCCCACAACAAATTGCATTTATCTTTGTGGTCTAAAACACTTGATGAATGCAATGGCTTCCTATTAAGACACTAGCAAGGCAGATCTGGGGATATTTTTAATCATGCAATATGTATGTCCATGTTGGATGATCTTCTTCTTGAGTGCCTTTGTGGGAGCATTGCTACACTTATGTACATGCTACTGCTACTAACTGTCCAGCACCACAAAGAAAGAAACCCACATCAGGACTGAAGCATTTCAACTTCTTATTTCTGAGTGGCTTGAGGAAGCACTGCAGGATTCTGAGCTGTGAGTGATCTTCACACATGTTAGAACCGTTGACTTTCAATTCTTCATCCTCTACTGGCCGGTCCATACGGTGAACAGACAGCACGTCCAACCTCCCAATGCATCAGCTCTCAGACAGGACATCTTGTTTTTAATGAGCATCCTTCACCACATGGAAATAAAACAACTCATGTCTGGAAATAAATAATAAATAATGGCTCCTCTACTGCCGGTGATAGGTTCTCTCTCAGTGTTGTTGGTTGCTGTGGAGAGCAGAGTGGTTGCTCAGCCTGCGAGCATTTGGCTTATGTCATTAGGGGCTGTGGTTTTGGCAAAAGCTCAGAGTGCCATGATGTTTACTCCGAGTAAAGAGCTGTAGATTTCCACTCCTTCACATCGTTAGTAGTGTTTCATGAAGATGGACACATTCTCACTGTGCTTTCCTAACCATTCCCGTACTCAAGGTCTCCCTTTAGCTCTTTCAAGAGTCACAAGGGTTCCGGAAAGGAAGGTGCCAGCCTTCAGTTTACACTTCGTCCAATAAGTCTGTTTGCCAAATAAGGAAGCAGCTGTCTTGTGTTTTATCTGACTGCTGAGAAGGGTGTAACTTTTTATGACCTAAAAGTACTTTCTTAGCAGTTAACCCATTTTTCGAAGAGCAGTGAAAGTGGAGAAAAAACACGTTTGATCAAATCTGTATATGAATAACTTTGTCCTGTTATTGTACAGGAACTAGGGTTGAAAAAACGTTGTTTAGTTTTCCCATGTAAAAACCAAAAGAGAAATGTCCCTGTTGATAAGAAGAGGTCATGCCAACCAGAGCACGCCCAACCCATCCAACACAGAGCCGGACTGGGAACATGATTCAGGACGGGAAAACATCAACCATGGCCAATCTCCACACATTCTAACAGACCTTTAAAGTGTTTTTCGTTTTACTGTTGATACCAGTTACAATATGTCTTATCTTTAACTGCTTCAGAAAACAACATAGTTAAAAAAACAAAGTGTCTTCAGTTTTCTATATTTAATTGAGGTTTCATAATAAAAGCTACATAAATATTTATATATATATAATAATTTGCACACACATATTTTTGTCAGGCTTTCTTGAGGGCCTTCCTACTCAAATAAAAGAGTAATAAGGTTTTTGCCAATGTAGTATTAAGGCCTACTGTACCAGAACCTTAGGGAACACGGAAAAACTACAGGCTGCATTTTCATTAAAAAAATGTGAGTGTAGCTGTGGTGAGGGAATAACCCAATACATTTTTCAAGTGCAGCAGAATCCCAATCTGCTGTTTGAGGGATTATATTTGGCTTGCTTTGATTTACCCATTATATTTAGCATTTTGTAGCACTTGTTAATTGTCATGTCTAGTTGTTGCTAGTACAATGATAACCAGCGCTGCAGGACTGTGTGGTGAGGTTAGCATGGAGACTGTTCAAACATCCACCCTACTGAAGTCTCCTAGGCAGAGCACTGAAATCTCCCAGAAGCACGGCTGCTGTTATGTAGCTGACCCCGGCTCTGACCTTCCTGTGGTGTGGGGTAACAAAAAGCTGTATTTCTCCTTTGGGGGATCATTATAGCCTCACAGAACCCGCAACCAGTAACATAAACAACCCTTTCTCTTTCAGATCCACTGTTTTCTGACACTTGCAAGATTGATACCAAGTTCCTGTCTCTGAACTACCTGGGCGGCTACGTGGAGCCACAGACATCAAAGGGTTGTGTGCTGTCTGGACCCGACAAAGACCAAGAGGTCCACATCATTGAGCTGCAAGCCCCCAACTCCAGCAGGTGAGCGGCCGGAGCCAAGAAAACATGTAGTCATAGTTTATTTTCGAGGTCAAGATGCTCTCACTAATCTCCATGGAGTTTGTTTTGGATGGAAAGTCAGTTTGGGGGTTACTGTTCACTTAGTGGAGGTTTGTTTTTTGAGAGATATTTCAAAAGTGGGTCTCAAAGTTCATGTTGCCAGATAATATCCTCACTCCCCATTGGAGTGATTATTCCAAAGACGCAAAGCAAATCTGGGAATAACTGCGCTGTATTTCACTGCAATGCTTTCTGGTCTGTGTTGCATATGTCTGCGTTTTTTTATGGGATTGCATCCAGGTTTTTAATGAGTTGGCCAGACACAGAAGGCGTGATAACACTTTGTGGATCTAAACGTCCAAATATCTTCCCCTCTCTCCCTGCTTCTCTGCAGTGCTTTCCAGGTGGATGTCATAGTGGATCTACGGCCTCTGGAGGACGATCCCCCGCTGCATCGTAACGTCATCTTGCTGCTCAAGTGCGCCAAGTCCGTGAACTGGGTCATCAAGGCCCACAGCGTGATCGGAAACCTGGTTGTAGTGGTAAGCATGAAAAACAGACAGCTTTCCATTCAGGAACATCTTTTTTTATTCCTTCACAGACATCAACACTGAGATTTGTGTTATCAAACATCACAGTGGCTCACAAGTCATGTCCCAGACAGAAATGTCATCACTTTACACCAGTTCCCAAAGAACGTGTCACACCAGAATGTGTGTTGAATTGGCGCCGGGTCCCCGCTGCAGGGGGGGGGGATAACAGGTTAGGAGGAACTGTGAAATAACATTGTGGCAGCTCCAGGATGTCATCACATTGAGAGAGCCAGGAGTGGGAGGTGGTGGGAGCATCACATATTTTTAGAGCCAAAGCTACTGCAGCACTTGAGATGCACAAAGCTGCTTCCCATCACCATCAGTCACAATGTGAAATATGAGCAGTTCTCTTCAGGCGTTTTCTTAAGCTGCTAGCTGTTAGGACCTCCTCGCCACACACAAATAACAAACACTGGCTTATTTCTGAAGTATATCAGAGTGCCCTTTTCTTAGGACTATAGTTTTACACATAACAGAGCTGAGTTTACAGATTTGATATTAAATCTTCATTAGTGTCTCTTAGAACCCTTAGGAACTATAAGAATATGACACCTATGTACACTTTGGAAGTACAGTTTAACTGTACATCATCTTGATGGAGAATTGGCAGTTTTCCAAGCTCTGTATTTGCTCCAGGGCTGAAATGTTGAACATTTTCTTTCTCCGGAGTGAAATAAGAAATCAGTGCAATAAAACTGAAAGAGACTCACTAATGTTGGGCATTTCTCAAAATATTTCCTTTTTCGGTATTTACGGTATGATTTGCTGTGCTGATTTCAGTGGAGCTGTGTGAGGGGTTCTGTGTCTCCTCACTGTGTAACGCTGATGCTTCTGCAGGGCTGTTGCAGCCATGACACAGCACTTTTACCAGGCACGGTGTGTTTGTACAGCTGCCTGGTCACTGCTGTATAGTGTGTCTGTCAGCTCGTGTGAGTGTGATACCAGGTCAAAGCCTGCGGTACGTTCATCAGCACAAAGCAATTGTTATGCATTAAGCAGAAGTTTCAGGGATAGTTCTGATAGACAATAGCAAACATATTTAAGCCACCTAGAAAAAGGCACATTTAATAACCTAATTAATTTGAACTCACAGAACACTGGATTTGCTCATCTATCACTGGCTCAATCGGCTTGTTTCTCCTATTTTTTTACTTTTGTACTTTTAAGGGTTAGTTCGGATTTACCAAAGTCAGACAATGACAACAAATACATTCGTTTTACTTCTGCTTTGTAGCTGCCACACATTATTATCATCAGTGTTAAACCAAAGCAGAATGGTCTTTCTAAAACACAAAACACATTTTTGTTGCCAAATTCCTGACAGTTTGAATTTGACTTGACATCAGTGGTACACAGGATGCTGTGCTTGCGCAACCAGTGTTTGGGATTGTGTCAACTATTTATGTGATATGATAGCCTCGTAAAACTGAGGCCTTGCTTCTGTCACACAACGGGTTCTCTTCAGAGTTGCTTAAGAGACTTGAATGTGTGGGAAAGGTCTGAATCAGAGCAGGAGACACATTTTATGGGGGAAACTCACATGTTGGTTTCTCAGCATTGATTGAGCGGTGACACGCCCATTACCTCACACTTGACACAGAATGAGAACAGGACTGAACTTGAAGTTTAACATCTCTGGAACAGTAAACTATGTCTTTTGTTTCCTGAATATTTTAAAGGAGCTTATGCAAATGTTGTCTTTTTCTACAAGATAAATAACACCTCTGCTTTTCTTTTTCACAGGCCTCTGATACCGTGAGTGTTAGTTTCAATACACAAAAAGTGATGCAGGTGTCAAAATCCCCGAAGGAGAACTTGCCATCGGGTTCACAAGCCTTGATCAATTGGGCGGGGGACCATGGCTGCGGTCCTGTCACATCTTACACCAGCACTCCCGTTGCTAACCACTTCACTATCCGACTTAGAGAGAGAGGTAAAAAAAAACATCCTCTCAATTTAATTCTACTGAAGCGCAGAAACAGAAATAATGGAACGGAAACGTCGATTTTAATTAAATATGCTATGTAAAAGATTTCACATAACTGTATTAGGTAAGCAATTATAAGTTTAGTTGAAAAAGTAGGTTCAACTTAATATTATTGCTTTCAACTAACCTAATACATTTATGAGAAATGTGTTGACATAATCGTTTTTCCAGTGAAGCTTGACTAATATGCGCATACATACATTTTAGCAGCTGATGCAATTTCTTCATAACTAATATAATATATATAATAACTTATTACAATTTGTGATTTACAGATGTGGTGGATCCTCTGGAGAGCATGTTGCCTCCAGAGCTCTCCATCCTGCGTGACGCCAGTCCTCATGCGAGGTCGGGAGCTGCTTCCCGGCGCTCCAGCCTGCCCTTCCACTTCCCCCCGCCTCAGTCCGACGGCCTGCCCCCCTCCATCGATGAGCGGCCTTGGGAGAACGGAGAGCCCGAGGACCATCATGAATTTCTGAACGTGGGCCTCAGCGTGCAGTGTGAGGCCACGAGGATGGTGGTCAGCATCGAAAAAGAAAGCCTGCAAGTGAGTGGAGAGCAAGATTTCATCCATTATGGACCCCTCTGCCTAGAAACGTACAGAGCTAAAGTAATGGTTATTTGGAATAGTTTCATTGAATTGGGGTTCAATCCAGGAGGCATCATTTCATATATATTTAACGTTTACCAAAAATAAAAATGTCCACATCTTTCATACAGACACACACCAGGGTTTCCGCTAGGATTTTTTCTCGCCGGTCAAATGTCCGAACAGAATTTATTTTACCGGACAAATTTGAAACTTACCGGTCATGTTTCAATAATAATAATAAGAGTTGTGTAGCAGAGTTTCCGTTAGCAGGTAATTACCGGACTATGACCGGATATGCTGAGGTTTAAAACTCAGTTAATGGGGCTCATTTTTATATTGCTTCAGTTTATAATCGTTACAGATCGAAAAATTCAGATTCATTTTTCAATAAATGATTCCACAAACAACAAACAACATCATTATTACATTCAAAGAAACTACTTGTTGTAGCCTAGATGAAGTACATTATTCAAAAGTTTACATTAATTTAAGAAGAATAACACGGGAGAAACGGATCCTCTCTTTTCCCCTCTCTCCTGACAGCCCGTCAGTTTCTCATGCAGCGCACTAAACAGTGGGCGGGGCTTCAGGTGATTATGGAGCAGCTGATCTGATCTCTCTCTCACGTCCGTCCGGTTATACTTCACTCACATTTATGTCCATATCGATCAGATCCAGCTCTCCTGATCGGCCTTTATAGAGAGCACCGATCAAACTATTAACAGTGAATATTGGCCGATAATGACCGGCGGGCAATCGATAGGAGCATCGGACATTTTGACCGGCAAGTTTTGAATTTACCGGTTTTTATTACATTTTACCAGCTAAAAACCGGTAATTACCGGCTAACGGAAACCCTGACACACACATACATACCATTTCTTTATAGCATATAAGTTAACGTGGTAGAGATAAAGAAAATATTAGCTATCAAATATGTGCATTACTTAGTTGTTAAATAAATACATTTTCTGTCAATCATCAAACAGATTAAGCAACATGATCTTAGAGTAAAGAAGCAAACAGTTAAGATATGTTCCCCTCTCATGTTAAATAGACAAAAACAACAGTTCATTTGGTATATTCAATGCGTGATAATGCTTTATTCCAGCAAAGAACAAAACCAATGAAATATTTTGTTTCCCAACCACACTTAATCCAGTGTCATCGGTGATTTGAAATGCCTTTCAAGTCGCACATCTGAAAATGTTTCATGGTCCGATCAATCACATTTGCTTTTGGGTGTTTTGTTTGCACATTTCTGCTCTTACGACACAGACTTGATGTGACAAGATGAACAGAAAACAACAAACAATGGAGAACAGAACACCCAAAGAGAACTGCAGTGTCCAGACCAATTAGGGCTCTGAATGGATCGATGATTCATGTGTGGGCTTTGAGCTGCAGAGATCAGGTTAGCCTGCTGATTGAGAAAAACCTGATATCAGGTCACCAAATGTAAAGTAAAAATAACTAGCATTAATGACAATGTTGTCATTGTTCTATTACTTTGTATTTAAGTGACCACATCCCTGACATTGAAGCTGGCTTCCCAACATTTGGCGTCTGAACACGGGCCTGCGCAGTTAGCCCACATCACAGAATGGAAACTGGCATACACTGTAATTAGGAGAAGCTGGGGCTGGAGCTAGACCACCTTGTGGGATTTGTTTATTCCTGGGAACCAAAGTCTCACACAACCACTTTGCCTTTTTTAACATTTTATTATGAAAATGAGTTAGTAAAAGTTGTTTTGATCTTTACTCAATGTTGCCATTTTTGTATGTTTCCTCAGGCGAATGGGTTTGCTCATGCCAACCTCACGCTCCAAGATCCAGCATGCAAAGCAACAGTGAATGCCACCCACTACACCCTGGAAACTCCTCTGACTGGCTGCCTGACCACTGTATATCCCATGCAGGGCAGCCCAATGGCCCTCCACATCAACTCTGTGAGTACAATACCCATTATTACATGTTAGTCTACAGCAAGTCATGTCAACAAAGCTGCTTAACCTTAACCATGGAAATTGGCTGCCCGGTTATAATGTACAAACAAACTCAGTGTTTTTAAAGGCATAATGAGTAGGATTTCCCCCAATAAACTGTGTATAGACTTATATAAAAAGAATCCCTCTCAATCCTCATTTCCCACTAGAAGTGTTTGTTGGCATTTGCAGAGACCATGCTCTCTGTGTTTGTGACATTTCAGGGTGTCAACCTCCATAAAGACGTATTGATTTGGTCCCACATAGTAAGCACGCATCCAAGAGAAAGCTTAGAAAATGGCAAAAACATGCAATTTTCTAAGCTTATACGCGTTGAATAAACTCAAATATAGGAAGGCAAGTCCAATATTCACTCATTTGAAATGCTGTGTTTACTAAAACATGGTCATACTTTTTTTACTTTAACATTTTAACTGAAATTCAAATGTGTTTTTGCCAACCATAACAACCGACTTGTTTATTTTAAGAAAAACATGTTCTGCACTAATGGAAATACCCTTCATATTTTATCTCCATTTTGGTGCAGTATTTGTGTGGGTGGACATCAAAAACACAGGCAGTTATCCAGCCCTGCAGGGGCCACATTTTTGAGCTATTATTTGACTACGCCAACTGGCTAACTGGCTTACTAGGTTGAAACCGTTTATGAGTAAAAGCTAGTTAGCATAGCAGGCCAGCTTCCATATTTTCAAATTAAACAAAGAAGTCATAAACCACTGCTGATACATAACTGTATTCACTATATGGACTGGTTGGAAAACAATGTGTTTAAGCCACTAGCATCACAGAAGTTGACAACATATTTCCCAATAACGTCAGCTATCAGACATCAACAGCTAATAGGAAATATCCTCTCTGACCCTTGAAGCTTAAACACTTTTTCCACAAACTGTTAAAACCTTTTTTTTAATGAATACATACAAGCAATATGACACAATTATGAGCACATTGTCATGTCATGGGTACCAGTGTGAGAACAGTCTCACAGCCCCAGTTGTCTTCATTATTGTGGAATGCATTCACTCAGTGCATTTGTTCTAACAAGCAAGGATGAATCACTTCCTCCCTAACCTTTTGAGATCTTTTGTGGAGGACATTTGGAACAACACATTTTCTGTCCGATGCAGAAGGAAAACCTGGGCACAAGTCCAAGGTCGTCTTTTGTGTTTGCACTTGGATGCAGGGATCTCCTCTGACCTCCAGTCAAATGAGACTCAACTTCATTGTGTAGATACCCACACTTCGGAGATCATCTGCTTTGGCTGTTGTTTCTTCTGTCCTTTGACAAGTTGATTTACTTCAGCAGTGGCACCAAAGGCAGTTCAACTAACTCATTTGGTGCAGACTCAAGGAAAACACTGTTGGTGTCACAGAGATTGTCCTCTCACATAATTAAATCTGACTTTTCTTAGAGAAGCATGTCCTCATGTCAGACCCCTGACATTCTTCTGCTCTACAGAGAAATGAAAGTATGTTCTATGTTTTTGTCCAGGATGAGTCCCAGTGCTGAAACCACAGGACATTCCCACATTTTAAATCCAAATGATTGGTTTCAGAATGTTTTGGCAACCTCCTCTCCAATAGTCAAATCTCCATGCCTGTGGCTTAGTGAACACTCGGACTTAAGCAACACTTCTCACAACTGGATGTGTTTAAAATAAATGTGAAAATCTGGAAAGGATTTATGTTTCACTCACTAACTGATGTGGCTTTGCCCCCTCTGTGGATTGCAGGTTCTGATAAGTCATGCTGAGACCAAGGATGGGAGTGGTGGTCCGCTGGATTATGAGGATCTACAAGCAGGAGACATGCTGTTCCCAAGAGACCCGGTGGAGTTAAACAGAAGGTTTACGGAACCCACAGAGCACCAGTCCGTCATCGGGGTAAGACAGCAGAACCATTGTGGTTCTGTCTCTGTGAGAACTGCAACAGGGAGAGAGTTGATATACAAGACCATCTACTGTACATCTCTATGTAGTTCATGCAGAGTGGGAATAAACCCCCTTGCTGCATGTAAAAACTCATCTGGCTCTTACAATCTGTCTTTCTTTCCATGATGTCTGTTTTATGAACTTGATCTGACTTTCTCCATTTTGAAGTTTCTCCATCTATCCTCTACCGACTTATTTTCCTTTGTCTAATCCATTCCCAGTGTCATACTTATTGTTCTTGTCTATAGAGTATCTCTTGGGTTCTTTCTCCATTTCCTGATCCATTCTAAATGGATAGTTAGCATAGTTTGAAGTGGGGGTTTATGCATAGTTTGTGTTAACTATAGTAAATGGAGGTCAACTTGCCCCCCTGTTTGGAGAAACAGACAGGAGTTACAGGACAGAAGCTAAAGTGAGTGGTTTGGAGCGAATCACATTTTAGACACCTACACAAATCCTGTATCAGTTTAAGTTTACGCTATATTAAGAATGTTTTCACCACTTTGCATTGCTGTCTGACAGCCCAATTAAAAAAAGATCTGACGCTGTTATCTATGCTCTCTTCAAAGCCAGACCTCTTTGATAAAAAATGTGCACACTTGGACATAAAAGGGACTCTTAAGGCTTGTATACGTTTAAAATAAGAATCCTTTTACTTCATCTCTGAAATACACAAGCACATCACTGCCTTGGGCATACACTCGACACGTTCTAATAAGTGATGTCTCTGTCCAAACATTTGTTCACATTCTCCAACTTAGATAAACATAAAATACCAAAGGTCTGCTCACAATTAACCCGATAACACACTAACTGACACTCTTCAGCACACAGAAACAACTCACTATTTGGTTACAGGTTATAATACTAAAGACATTAGCCCAATTTAGCTAGCCGGTGACGCACTGTGACGAAGAAGAATTGGGAGGGATGAAAGAAGAAGAATATGGAGAGATGAAACCCCTCTTTAACGGTCACACATGCAGAGCACACAGCACACACAGCACACACAGTGAAATGTGTTCTCTACTTTTAACCCATCCTAGTACCAGGAGTCTAGTACTAGGAGCAGTGGGCAGCTATTGCACAGCATACATGACATGTTTGACATTTAACTGTTAAATTATGATAATATACGATATAAATATTGATGCATTACCGCTAGTTTCTTTTAACACTTTTATACGTCTTTTCATCACTTGAGCATACCTGGAACACACCAACACAAGCACATCATTGCACATGGCTGCACTCACTCGGCAAGGTCTAATAAGTGATGCCTTTACCTTCCCCGAGCTGCTCTATCTGCCTGTGTGAGCTTTAATATCAAAATATTTAAAATAAACCATTTGGTGAATTATTATGTATTCTATTTTATTTTCTGCAGCTAAATACCATTAGCTGCTTCTCCTGTTCACAGCAGAACATTGCATGATCCTGTCTGTTATTCCAAACTGGGGGCCTGCCAACATTATAAATAACATTATTTATTTTATTTAAACAATACAAAATAAACTTTGTTTGATTGATTATATACAGTCATCTATTGTATATATATTTCACAATGGATAAGTACCTCTACTATTTCACAACGTCAGAACTCCCTCTTTAATGTGGTCAAACACTGGCACACTGAAATCAGACGTCAGATCCATGCTGATATTTCCGTTGGCTTTCGTCTCTTTCTCCTCCCAGTTCAATTGCACGTACAGAAAGAACCAGGAAAGTTCGGCAACTCTTCCCAGGATTGTACCGGGACCAGGGAGGCACCCAGTGAGCAACATGACATTTAAAATGGAGTTGTACAACAAACTGCCGATCCACAACCCCTCACGCCAGGCCTTCTACACTGTTTCACAAAAGCAGCAAGTCTTTGTGGAGGTACGTGTTGCATTGTAATAAAAGGACTATTCTATATATTGTGTCCTTGCCGTTCAGCTCTTCCTTCTTTCATCCATTAGTTTCTGCCATGTCAGTTTCTATTTGATCTTGTTAGGTCTTAAAACCAAACTCTCACTTTCAACCCCCTAATAGTATTTGTATCTCCTCTCTACGTGTCTCCATATCCTGTCTGTCTCAGGATCCTCATTCCACAGCAGTAATAATAGAGGTCATACTCTGGAGTCCTTTGACAAGAGGATTTATGCTGATATCAGTGGGAGGTGCTTTACTGACAGAGCCAGCTGGTTACAAAGGGTCTTTCTGTGTACATGTATGCTCAAGGGGGATTGTTAAGGATGAAAAGGTACATTATTCAAAAATATGTATTCCTTGTTACCCTAATGTATCCTAAGTGTGGGAGTTGATGGTGAATTTTCATGAATATCATGAATAAACTAAAATTTAAGACTTAAAAAATGACACCGACCCCCGCCATCAGGTTAAGAATTGAAAAATAGTCTTATTTTTTTAAATATAGGACTTTTCATGTAAGGAAGAATATACTCACACAATTTTGCTATTCTTTATTTATTTATCCTGTGTTTTCCCAGGGGGAAATCTGTTTCATTTTGTTGACATTATAAAAATGAACTACTTTCTCAAAAACATTCTTTGGAACTTTAAGCATTGTATTTTTGGTATATTACCAAGAATCGCAATTATAGAAATGTGTTTCAGTTAACATCGGTAATGTGTTGACAGGGTTTGTCACCATCAGAAACCACTTCCATATTATCATATATATATATTAATGCTGTCAAAATTATCGCGTTAACGGCGGTAATACATTTTTTGAATTAATTGCATTAAAAAGATTTAACGCATTTAACGCATGTGCAGAATGGCCCGCCCCATACATCCCACCAGTGGCAGCGCCAGGGTATGGCTGGGGTAGGCTACACCCATACCAATAAATGGCTTAGTACCACCATGAAAAATGATGGTAAAGTAAGCAAAATAAAGTCCGCCAACTCGCGCCGAGAATTGCACAGACAGCAGTTAGTAAGATTGATTTCAGCAGCCACTTGTCTGGAAATACCGAAGACCAGAAACGTCTTCTCAATAGAACATCTTTGATAATGTCTTCTGGCCAATCAGAATCAAGATAACGGCGTGATGTTGTTGCAGGAAGTCCCGACGGAGAATACTTTTGCTGTAGTACGGGGTGCACATAACTGGTACGCAGGTTATGTGCGTAATCTGAAATGCGTACCGTCACTTGTGTCACAAAGCGCATTTGCGTACCGATGTACTTGTGAAGCTTTTCCAGAAGGCGGTTAGATCACCGGACGACAGAGTCGGTCTCCGTGTGCACAGACAGGGCTGCTGTTAACATCGGTCTGTACAACGGAATTGTGCCAAAACTACGCCAACCGGCTGCGGAGGGAGACTCCCCCCCTTCACTGGAGAACTGCACTAAAACAGCTGATCACAACGTTCACACTCTGTGGTCACGAAGTACTCCACTAGCCCCCCCCCCCCGTCGACTTTCCTGAAGTACTCCCCCGTTGATAGAAATCAACACGTAATGAATTAAGACCCCACTGTTTGATGATGGATAGGTGTGTGGGCTGTCTTTCATTTTGACACACAGAAAAATGTTATAATAAACATACATACTGTATGTTAAATGGATATATCCGCCTTCTTTCATTTATCTTTCCATTCCCACAACAATATACATAAAGAAATGGCATATTTCGGACATAGTTCGAATGGTGATTAATCATGATTAATGAATTTTTAAGCTGTGATTAATCTGATTAAAATTTGTAATCGTTTGACAGCCCTAATATATATATATCATTTTGTCCATTTGGAACAGTTTGTCAAAATGGCTTATTAGAGCGCTAGGACCCAACGGCGTCCTAGCACGAAGTGCTGTTTTTGAGATCTTTAGGATGCTTCAAAAGTTGTATAATTTTGCACGGATTCCAGAATCGGTGAACAATTCAACATTCTGGAGTCAATGGGTTCAAATTGTCCAACGTGCTCTCTAGCGCCACCTATGGCCATTTCCATTTTTGGAAAGATGTACAAAGTCGCACCTTAACTCTGAATGACCTGACATTTTGCACACTTATTCGGGTGGACCTGCTCTACATATTATCTCCTTGAACTCCTAAGCTCCGCCTACTTTTTAATTAGCATAATTTACAAAACAATTAAATGTTAACTTCAATTTAAATTTTCAGTTTTTGAACACCAAACTTCGTATACAGCATCGGTGGAGGGTCAGACACTTTACCGTAGAAAATGAGCATGTTCAGATGATAAATATTGCCGCCATGAATCAAAACGTACTCGCAAAAAGGTGGAGCTTAGAAAGAAATGCTCATAACTCATCAACAATGTATCCAAACATCACAGATTTTAGTAGATAGGTTCAGTCTGTCTTGGTGAATAGGCACACCAAAGCATTTTCATTTTGGACTATAGGGGTCGCCAAAGACACCACCAATTTATAACTCAAGAACGGATTGACACATTTTTTTAGTTTTTTTTTACACATACTCTGGGGGTGACTACAAACTGAGATTTAAAGTGTCGCAACAAATGCAGAATGTGGGCATGGCTTATACATTTTTTTTTTTATTGCGAAAGCATCAAATGAGCTTCGGACGCAAAACTTGGGACATACGTCACAGCCCACGATCTTTTCGAGAATGTAAAAAAAAACGTAATTTAAAAAAAAATAAAACTGCTCACTAGCGCCCCCTATTGTGTGGTAGTCACATATAGTTTCTCAGAACTTTGCTAATTTTGGCACACACATTCCTCATGGAGTTGCGGACATATTTGTAAATAGCTTCCATTCGCCCCGCCCCCCAGGAAGTCGGCCATTTTGAAAAATGTGCGTTTTTCATGCACTTTAAGCACATTCTTGCGAACTCCTCCTAGGGCAGGGGTGCCCAACCAGTCGACTGGGAATCTCCCCGCGATCGACCGGTCGATCGCGGGGAGATTCCCAGTCGATCGCGAGATGTGTCTAAAAATAGAACAACAATATTCTGTTTTATCGTTAATGTCCTATAACATAATCTTCCTGTGCCAAAATAATGCACTTGAACGCATCAAAGCTTTGTGATTGGTCGGCGTGACCTCATGTGGCGTGGCTGGTGGGCAGTGGGCACTATTTCGCTGACGTTTTCCATGTCAACAGGAGTGACAGTCCGCACACACACAAGACCGCAATTGTGGCAGAAGCAAAAAAGCCCAAAATATATAATTTTCACTCCGAGTGGGAGGATGATTATTTTTGTATCTATTCCAATTCAAAGTCCATCTGTCTCATCTGCAATGTGAGCGTGGCTTTATTGAAGAAGGGTAATTTAGGAGCGGCATTTCAAAACAGTGCACAAACGCTACAAGACGGAATTCCCTCCTAATTCTGCCCTACGCTCCAAAAGGGGAGGGGCCTGAAAGGACAGCTAAATGCACAGCAGTCCATTTTCACCAGGCCCAACAACAAGAGCAAGGCTGCTACCATAGCATCTTATCGTGTCAGTCACGTTCTTGCGAAACACATGAAGTCTTTCAAAGACGGCGAAGTTGTGAAAGAAGCATTCCTGGAGGCTGCCGACGTGCTTTTGGGGAACAGTAAAAATAACAGTAGCATTTCAACAGGTTTTTGATATAATAAAAACTCAAGTTAGATACCGTTATTAATCAGCTGTAAGTTTTAGTTTGTTTGAACTTATTCATTATAATTATTGTACAAAATGGTATAAGAATGCAAACTTAAATTGATTATAGTCTATTATCGATTCAGGTTAAGAAACTAGTAGGGGTGTAACGGTTCACAGAAGTCACGGTTCGGTTCATACCTCGGTTTGGGGGTCACGGTTCGGTACGGGTTCGGTACAACAAGGAAAAGCAAAAAAAAGTTCCAAATGCATAATTGTTTTTGCTGTTATTTATTTTTAACAGTAGTGCAAGTTTAGAACTCTAACATTTGGAATCATTAACTGTATTACACAGTTAAAAACAAACCACAAACAGTAACACACACACTCAGATGGCCATATTATTTATATTGGCTAATGTCAAACTAAAAGGTTAAATAAGCTGTACAACTAAAAAGAATGTCTTGAAAATATTAAAATAAATAATAAGAAAGTGTTTCAATCACAATCAATAAAAGGCAATACAGAACTGTATAACATCTCCTGATGTCAAAATATAAAATAAATATAATGATAAATATAAAACAAAATAAAATCTGTACCTTTAGGAGCAATGTCTAACATGTGTAATTAACTTGTGAGTGTGTGAGGCCATTATGCCTAAATAAAGGTACTCAAGCTTTACTCTATTTTCAAGTTTTTCTTCAAAAAGATGAGTTTGTCTACGTTGTCAGTAGTGAGGGCAGATCTGGTGGCGGTAACTATTGGCGCGTTTCCACTGCAGGCCTCGCTCGGCCTCGCTCGGTTTGGTTAGGCCTTATTAGGCCCGGCTCACTTTAATGCTGCGCTTCCATTACAGTTTAGGAACTGGGGTAGTTACTATAGTAACGCAGGGTAGGCGGAGCCGTGACGTCATCTTCAATGAGAGCCCCAGAAAAACAACACAGCCGTTAGGTCTTAGCACTCAGAGCTCACAGCTCTTCATATATGTTCAGAAACTAGACAAAAGTTAAACAAGTACAAACCACAGACTGTCTGTGTCATGGCGAATACAGCCGCTGGTTTATTTATGTCTGTATAGGCCGTTGTTGTGAGTGTGGACGGTCGGAGCATATATAACGTTAGCTTAGCCAAGCTACATTTAGAAAACACGCATTTTAAAAGGGTTTTTCGTCTGCTGTCTGTCTGCAGACTTGTCAAAGCATTAATTCATGGTTTTTACTAACCGGTATCAGTATGTTGTTACTTCGACATCATTTTGAAACGTGTATTACAATTAAATCACGGTCAAATATGTTCATCTTGTTGTAGTTGTAGCCCCCTTGCCAGCGATTCTTTCTCTAGTTTAGCATACTCAGCCCGACTCAGCCTGGTTGTTCCTGGCCCTAGAACCACGATTTTCTGGGGCCAGAAAAACTGTGAATTAGGACCCGCTAGCCGGTACTAGGCCAAGTGGAAACGCAACCAAAAACGGGCTCGGCACGCTTAAAGCGAGCTACCCGCTGCAGTGGAAACGCGCCATTAGTCACTTGCCGTCGAGAAAACCCTCTCGCTGGGGACTGAGACTGACTCGGATGTGATTGAGCATGTTTGACGTGTTACCACTAGCATACCGCACCGCTGTCGAACAACGCCGACACACCGTCCTCGTCCGATCCACAACTCGCACCCCATCATTGTTGTAGTCCACAGGGAACCCAAAATGTTATAGACTTCAGTCTTACTAACATAAAGATGTTTGCTATTGCAATTTTAGATGTATTTAATGATAAAGTATTTTCTTCTCTCTGGTGTTCTTCAGGTCACATCGGCCGCCACAGATCCGGAGCTGGGGTTCACCATCGTAACCTGTTTCATCTCTCCCAACTCTGACCCCACGGTGCCCTCAGACTACACCCTCATTGAGACAGTGTGCCCCACAGACGACTCCGTCACCTACTACCCTCAGAGGGGCTTCCCTGTCCCCCACACACAGGCGGAGAAGCAGAGTTTCAGCTTCACCTTCAACTCTCAGTTGAACCTGTCCCTGCTCTTCCTGCACTGCGATATGTCTCTGTGCTCCAAGAGTTCTCAGAGCAACCAAAGAATGCCTCCGGTATGCAGTCTTTACTTTCCAAATGACTTTTATACTTTTGCATCTTTTATTATTTGACAGTACAAGTCTCTCTCGAGTTTATTAGCGATGTTATTTTAGGAGATTTGAAGTTGGTGTAGTCGTGCCCCATCCTAACTCTGGCTAACCCGAGCCTTTCACTATCAGGAAACATGAATCAAAGTGAGATTCACCAAGTATCCAGCTGCAGAACCAAACAAACATCTGTCTTGATTTTCATCTTGATTTTTCTCTTACTGTTCTCTGTCCAATTTAGACAATCTCCTGCAAGCACGTTCCTCCACTTTATTTGCATTTAACAATAAAACAAATCAAAAAAACAATTAAAGAAGTGCAAGAAGAAACAAAGTAGAAAAAAAACGAGAATTTTGTAAGTTATAAAGTCAAATAGAGGTGAGCTAAACATAGAATGTAAAATGAAATGCTGTACAGTGACATACATGTACAGTTTGGGCTTTTCACTGTTAATTTATTAGTTTTAAGTTCAGATATTTTTTTGTCCATGCAGTGCTTACAACCGAGTGACACCTGCGATTCTCCTTCTGTGGAAAATATCCTGTCGATGGTAATGCACAGCAAGACGTCCACAAAGCCGCTGGTCGTGGTGGATGGATCTGGTCCGTCAGAAGAACCAGGTTAGTAAAGAGGGGATGAAAATATAACCTTTCACACAAACTTAGACCTTATGCCATGGGCTCAACCTGTACACCATTTATAAATGTCTACAAAGCTCTCTCATTTTCATTTTGGTTTTATCAGCACCACAAATGTTTCCATTGTTTTGAGTGTTAAGTGTGGTTTGAAAACTGGAGTAAAGAGAGAATGAAGTCTGAGCGGGCGAAGGAGTCGGAGAAAGCTCAGTCCAATCCTCAGAGATTAGACCAAACCACAAAACCCTGAACATCACTTCCCCACCTCTGGTCATCATTATCAGCAGTGTGTGTGTGTGTGTGTGTGTGTGTGTGTGTGTGTGTGTGTGTGTGTGTGTGTGTGTGTGTGTGTGTGTGTGTGTGTGTGTGTGTGTGGTAAAGGGGCGTGTGCAAACACAGAGGCCCAGTTCGGCTGCTCTGGACCAGTCCATGCTGAGGGAGGGGTGGAAAAAAAGGAGTCATACAGCACCAGTTGTTTTCACTTAGGACTTTCACTGTGGCCTCAGCCTTCCACTAGAGAGGGGGAGAAGGGAGGAGTGTGAGGGGAGTGGAGGTCCAGCCAGACCCTAAAGGGCCCCTCCATCATCTCTTGTTTAGCCACTCTCCATTCACTCGCTGTGTTGTGGACTCTCCTGGGCTGTGAGTGAGTTCAGCCCGCAGATGTGGGGGGGAGGCCTGAGGTAACCATGTTCACATTTAACTAATTATGACCTAAACTGAGATGGGGTGATATCATGAGTGCCCGATCTCTGGTGGTCAGCCAAAGCGTTTCAAATCAGCCTCCCTCTGAGCAATGACTTCAACCAGAACCTGTGGTCAGTTTGAGTCAACTTCATTGACTCAAGTCTTTTATATAAACCACATCATTTTAATCAGTGTGAGCTAGAGCATGACTCATATATCAGCAAGGCCAATATTAGACTTTTTAAGCCTAATGTGGATATATTGTACTGTCTTATATTTAAGCTTATAAGCAACATGCAATTGCCATAGAGAAATAAAAAAGATTTAGAGTGTTAGCAGTAGTATAAAAGAGTGTGATAAACATAGTTTGCCCAAAAGAAGCAAAGACAAGCACTGGCAAATATGTTTGAAATGATTTGCTTCCGATTTACAATCACACATCATATTCATACAAACGTTGTATTAGGAGAAACCTGGGGGCTTAGACCATTTTGTGTCTTCTGTTATAACTAATGAAATGTTCAGTATTGGGCCCTCATCATAAAGAATTGTTTTTTATCTAAAGTGTAAGGTGTATGTCAGGTGGTGACAGTCATAGTAAACAGTAGGAGACTAAACAGTACTTTTTTCCAGCATGTAGGAGGAGGACAATTTGTAGCTTTAAGCAAACCGATTTGTCTTGCTCCTGGCCCCACTGAAATATATGACCATTTATTTTCAAAATTGTTTAAATAATTTATTTAAAAACAAAAACAAATGGATTGGCTCCAGCCTCTCAAATGTACTGATAATCCTAAACTAAACTACCATGGTTATCATTATACCTTTGAGTGGTGAGACTTTTGACAGACAGTACAAACCATTTTAATATGACAACTTGGTCTTTTAGTCAGCGTTTTTGACTAACACTTTTTACCAACTAAGACAAAATAGGCTAATTGATAGTAAAAACCATTGTTTGATGCGGCCATGCGCAAAACTATACAAATACAAGTATCGACTTCAACAATCTGGTATCAGCCTGGCTGTAGCGTGAGGGGCCAGAGTTGTACAGAACATTCCTGAACTGAAATGAATGTAGGGTCCCTAATTAGAGATCCCTATTAATCCCTATTTAGAGATAAACAGTAGATGTGGTCATTTTTTGGCACAGAAGTCCAGTGTTAATGTTAGCAAGCTGCTGAAGACATTGGTGATCAGAAACTTGTTGTTAAAGTATGAGTGAGTTAGCTGAGCTAGGGGGAGAAACATGCACAGCCACACCAACATCCAGCGGGTGCAGCAGGTTTATTTCCCATGGCACCGATTAAGTCAACACAAATATGCAATAAGCACAGTGAAAAGAAACCTATTTCAAAGAGCAGGTTTTATAACACAAAGGCATCTCTTATACTACGAAGGCAAACAAAACAACCAGCCTTTTCAAGGGCCACAGTTCTGTACTGGATGGTATCCCAAAGAGCACAAGTCCCTCTACAAATCAAAGAGGGCCACTTGTGGCCAACTTGGTGCATGGAAAAGCATAACAGCCTCAGAGCGCAGCCATCAGGAGCAGATTTACTGCTACACAATAAATGTTATTGGATCTGGTCAAGTTCAGAAAAGTTGAAAAGTATCGTTTATTTGAGAGGTTGGCAGTGTGGATTATATAACTCACACCAGTAGTATTACGTTTATACTGCAAAGAGTAAGAGAAGAAGATAGAAACTTAAAAAACGTTTATTCACATTACATTTAATCAAATATAATCTGTGTCAAAATAAAAACTGCATAATATTAGGTTGAATGTATTTTGATCTCCCTATGGGCTGTTATATACACTGCATTGATGTCAAAAAGCCAACGTTATCACAAAAGCAGAATTGAAAAACTCTTGTAGATTATGTACCAATCAAAATATAAATCATCCACACATTGTTTGAACAGATCCATTATGAGAAACCTGTATCACTCTATAAAACCACTGTATATCATCATTTAGTTGGGTGCTAATAGCCTCATAGACCAAGCTTATTGCAGTAACAAAGTTTTGAACTGTCGAGTTCAACTGTACTGGGCTTTATAAATAAGAACATCCAATGTCAAGGGTCTTGCAGAAGAGGATATCAGGGGTTTCTGCGCTGTGTGAGGAGAGATCAGAGTTAAACAAAAACATTCGCTCTCATTCCATGGCAAGAAAACGTACATAAACAAATGACGTTCCTAGAGATAATAGAGACCTCTTTCAACTCTGGCAGAGGAACATAAGTCATGATTTTAACTTCAGGGGTGCTGTGTGGTTCTGTTGAAATAGTCAGCAAAATGTAAGAACTGACAGGCGTCCAGAAGGGAATAGTTCCCCGAAGACATCAAGGCGTTCTATGAAAAGATACATTGAGTTTCGGTTTAACCATAGGAGCTATAAGATGACAGTCATGTCAATTCTCCACATAAAAAATAAAATATGAGTCCAGTTTAAGTCCATTTATTTGGTATGCATTTTATTAAATCTGTCATCCAATAAAAATCGTTCTGCACAGAAACCTTGCACACTGACTCTCATGCTTTTTATTTTTGTTGCGTACATTCATAAAATAAGACGAATGAAAAAGCCAGGGTTGCATCTTAATAGAAGTCAAAGCCTGCTAGATGCTGAATTATTTACATGCGTGCAATGGTGCTATTCCCAATCAGGGTTCATTAATGATTGATAATAATGAAAAGCTATAATTTAGCTGCTTATAGCACAATCAATACTTTCATATTTTTCATAAATATTTGTCTTTGCCATGATCTGTGATATGAAACTGTAATGCGATCTCTTGCCACAATCAGACACTGTTTTGGATGATGCTGTTCTGATATCTATGACTCTGGGTGGTCAAATAACTCTTTCATTTTGAGCGATGAAAAGTACATATTCAAAAACTTTGATAATGAATGAAACTTTCTTAGTCAGTTTGTAAAAATGATTATATTTAAATCCCAACAATTACCAAGGCCATTACAAGACAACATAACACACCAACGTCTCATGCTGGCCTCCCTTATGCCTGCTCTTTCTGCCTTTTCTGTACTGTACAGATAACACTGGAACGATTGGGGGGTGGGGGGTGGAGGTTGGCAGAGAGGACGTCCTCTGGCCATTGTTCCCTCTGAAATTAAAGTTCTCTCTGATGACCTGTCATCATTCATTATGCAAAATGGAAACTCAAAGGTGTTCTTTCCAAGAATAGCGTGCATTGTGCCTGAGTCTTGGACGTGCACCAGGCTCGCCTCTTTAGATTACAGAAGAGGCTTTGTGTTGTTTGTTAAGACATCATTATGAGGGCTTGAAATACAGTGTTCAGAGTCAGTAGGTTCATCAGCTGATAGTATGGCTGCTCTCTTCCTGGTTCAGGTTTCTGTGTCACATTCCTCAGAGAATTGCTTATCAACTCAGGGCAGTATCAGTAATGTTCTGGTCCTCTGGCCTGGAGCTGACAGCTGACCATCTGAACGATTCACTATGTATGAATGTGATACCCTACATGATAATGAGACATACTTTCATTTTCATTTTTGTTATAGTTCCTCCTTCTGAAACACCACCGTATCTTGATGATAGTAAGTGATTGTACACAAGTTTCAAGATGTATTATTCTCCTCTATTTATATTAACATGTATGTGAATTATATGGAGCCCTTAAGTATTAAATACATAAATAAGACTTGAAAATGAATAATTAAATAAATACATGTGGTAAAGGCTTACATAAACCAATAAGATATATATTTCTTGATTTTATGTAATTGTTATGCACAATGTATGTACAGTACATAACTATGACTATTTAAAAACATTTGTCATTTGTTAAATATATTTATGAGTTTTTGGAGAGTGGATTGCTTCCAAACCAAAAACTTTTTGTGTTTAATATCACAATGACAATAAGCGTCTTATCCTAAATTATGTATACATTTAATTAAATGTGATGATTGTCTTACAATTTATTGATATAAATACTTATTATTATGTATATTTTAATGTGTTATTCTAAGTTATGAACTGTGTGCTCTTCTGTTTGCAGACGCGCTATACGTGCTGGACACCCCCACAGTGGTGGGGATCGCCTTCGCAGCCTTCGTGATTGGGGCTCTGTTGACCGGAGCCCTGTGGTTTATCTACTCACACACAGGTAGGTCCTTTACCTGCTGCTCACCTCTCAACACTAATGAAAAGATAAGACGCTAAAGAATGCCCCAGTGTCCGGGTGCCAGAAATGTGCCGCTGGGAATGCCAAACATCCTGCTGCTGACAGAGGCCGGTTCACAATAACAGATTGACTCCTCTACTGTAAATATATCCTGTTGGTCAGCAGCGAGGGCTCTTCTCTTTCCTGCCTTTGAATGTTTTGGGAGCTGCGGGGTGGTCAACGAATACTCTCAGTACAATGGCTGGGACGAGTTGGAAACCCCCGTTGTTGGGTTTAGTGGCCCTCACAGGAAAGGACACACAATCTGTCCATTAGATGCCAAGAGCTTCCCCATCGTCCCCAGCCTACCGACCCCTGCTGACCCCCGGGAGGAAGTGCGCTCCCAGCAGCTCTCTGGAGTTCACCGTTGCACAGAGCTGCCCTTTTCTCATTGGCTTTGCTGCTTGACTGGTGATCAGCCATGCCATTGACCTGCTGGCCCTGCGGCTGATGTGTTCACCATGGACGTCTTTTATAAAGGGGTCAGGGTGTTCTCAGAAAATGCAACGTGTTTGAGTTGATGCATAGAACAAAAGCTTACAGTTGGACAGATTAAATGGATTAGTAAATCATCCAAAGATCCGGACACATTGTCAGAACTATTACAAACTGTTCCACTCATTCTAAATCTTGTGTTTACTGAATAGGATTTCTTGTAGCATAAAAAAGATCAGATTTCAGTGCCCTTATCTTTATCACAACATTGGTATTGGCTCCTCTTTAGAAAGCCACTTGACTACAGTTTGATGGGTTTCCTAGAGAGCCTTATTAGATGGTTTTCCAACGATATGAGAAGTAAGCATGGAGAGAGAAACAGGTGTTAGGATAGTATTTCTGGAAAGAGTTTTACAACATGTTCTTGCTGATGTTATTGAAATAGGCTTTAGCTGGGCGTGTAAAGCTGTCTTTGCTGAAATTACCTTACAAGGCAATATTGGCAGTGCCTTATAAACCCCAAGTATGTAGATCCCCTAAGAAACCACCAACATATCAGTTCAGGGTGTATTTTAAACTTGTGTACAGAAGCATGGAACATGAAAAGAGATGTGGGTCTGTCCCCTCAGGGTCTGAGGACAAAAACTCTTGAGAAATACACTTATTTTGAAGTTACTACTCATTGGCATTACATTAAAGGTTTTTTATCCATTGCAGTTTTACTCCATATAGGGCAATCCAAAGCGTCTCTAAGAACCCTTAATATATGATCTGACGTCCTGCTCATTATGTTCACCATGCATTCTGCCAGGGCTGCAGTCATGTCCGTTGAGAGATCTGCTCTCTACCTCTGCTCACTATTTGAAACCACATACACAAAAGATTTTAGAAATAATTGCATCGAAGAGTACCAATGGTAAATGTCACCTCTAAAAATCAGGGTTTAGAAATATGTTATTAAATACTATTTGACTACGAATACAACTGAAGGGCCGCAAACATTAGTGACAGCAAGAAATGTACGACTAGGAAACATACTTTTTGAAGCATGGCTTTAACAAAGACCAAAGTTTCATGATGTATTAGTAGCTAGTTTGTGTGTTTTTTAAAGTGAGATCCCCTTCGTGGTGAAACTATAGCTTGGATTGTCATGAAATGTTGTCCCGCCGTTCATGTCTCCAAAAGAAGGATTCTTGTGCCTTTGGCGATCCTCTGACCTTTCCTCTACTGACCTTTCCTCACTGAGAAGTTAGTTTTGTGTGTTATCCCTTGACAGCTGTCAGATGACATTGCCTTAACCTTTGTTTGATACATTCATGTTCCATTTAGTATTAATTGTCACTTTTAATCCAGTGTCATCATCAGATACAAATTGTTATTTGTTTAAATGGTGAATGGTAAATGGATTGTACTTATATAGCACTGTATCCAGTCTTTACGACCCCTCAAAGCGCTATTACTATTACAAGTCATCATTCCCACCTCCCCCATACAGAGCAGTGCCACTTTCACATTCACACACATTCATACACCGCTGGCCATGCCATCGGGAGCAACTCTGGGTTAAGTATCTTGTCCAAGGAGACATCAACATGTTGATCTGGTCCCAGGTCTTGATTTAGACATTTTAAGTTCGCAGGCAAATTGCCCCTTGAGTCAGAGTTTTTATACACAATATAATAATAATAATAATTCATTTATTTTATATAAGCGCCTTTCAAGGTTCTCAAGGTCGCCGTACAAACACATAAAAAACAAGATACACAATAGATAACACCAGCATAAGAAACATAAACAAGACAATGACAATGCAGTATATAAATCAATTAAATAACCAAATAAATAAAAACAGCCTTTATCTCTCCTGTCACCAAGATAATATTGGACCTAGGAATTTACATTTCCTTACAGGGGAATCCAAGCTTCTTTGTTTTCAAGAGCTCTTGGTCCTGCGGGGGAAAGACCTCTGGCAGTTCTGCTCTGGTAAACATTAGCAGAACTAAGGGGCCCCAAAGAGGGAGCGGCATGCACGACCGCCAGTGGACCCACACATTCTTATAGTCACACTCAACTTTAGGTACAAACAAGACTATCGATGGGAAAACCTTTATCTTAGAGAAACATTCTCTATGTATTAGGGCGAAATAAATCTAGGAAACAAACAACACACTAACACGTGTGTGCCAAATACTCAAATGAAACCCAGACTTGACTGTACTTCCAAAGCTGTTCATTGTCTGTCAGAGACATTTTTTGTAAACAAATGTAAGCACTTTTATTTTCCCTCTTCATTTAAAGCGCTGGATCCCAAGAGTCTACAAAATGAAATGCTTATTTAGTCATAGAACAATAAACCAGTCAGTGGTTTGAGCTCCAGTCAGTAGGTCCTGTCCTGTGTTTGTTCTGCTGTATAAAGCTAGGCTAATTGAATCCAGATCACCAAAGAAATGAATTCCATGAACAGGAATCCTCCTTTTCTCTTTGTCTCCCAAATGTCATCTGACAGATAGGATGTGACTGGTTGTTTCTGGGCGCTCTGAGGTGACATTTTGTGGGTCCAAGCAGTTGAAAACACTTTGTAAATCTGTAGCAGATTGTGCTTGAAGATGGTAAAAGTTAGCACAGATCAAATCCAGAGTTCTTCTTGCAGTTTTTAGCCAAGGTCTTTGTACTGAAACTGGATCCTTTTTTGCTCATGCTTGAGTGAAAATGTGTGATGGCTAGTCACAAAACGTCATGATAAAGAATTGTATTTGATATAAAGTGTAAGCTTTATGTCAGGTGGTGACAGTCATAGTAAACGTTAGGAGATTAAACAGTACTTTTTTCTTTAAAGAGGTACAATGAAGGTTCCAGCATGTACAGTAGGAGAAGGACAATTTGTAGCTTTAAGCAAAGCAATTTGTCATGCTCCTGCCTTTCTGTAATATATATGAAAGAAATTCTACCTCCCTTTGGTCCTCACCCCTCCTCACCCCCTCTCCTGCTCTCTCCCCCTGTGTAGGTGAGACAGCTGGCAGGCAGCAGGTCCAGAAGCCCCTCCCGGCCTCAGAGAACAGCAGCCCGGGCCACAGTGTGGGCAGCACCCAGAGCACACCCTGCTCCAGCAGCAGCACGGCGTAGCCCCGACCCGGACCCCTGCCCAGGCCCCAAGGTTCACAGGGACCGCTTTGTTCTTCTCCTTCCATGAAAGGAATTATTAGGGGAATGTTAAAGGTCACACAAAAACACCTTTGGTCCTGTAAATTCCTTTTGTGCCAGACTAATAAACTGTCCTGGTGTTACTGCTGTGTAAAAGTAGAGACCTTGGCAGCCTCAACTCATATTTAGTACAGGAAAATACGTTTATGCAAGGCATTTCATTCCAATCCTAATGCTGTTTTTTTCTGAGCAAAAGCCTTTTGTTTTGGCCTTAAATGGTGAGATGTAGGCTGTCTGTAATGAGCAGGTGTACTGCGACAGCAAGGAAAGCAACCAGGCTGCAGTGATGTCAGTATTAGTACGTGAGATGTTAATGGCTGGACTGTTACACTTCACAACACGCAACCCTAAAGGTGGCGAAGCAACCACTATTAACATGCGGACAAAAGTGCAGTATGACATAAGTCGTCATCTTACCGAGAGATGGCTTTTAAAAGATGCAAGATAGATATTGAATGTATGCAGAAGAGTATTCGCCAACAAATGTGAAAGAACAATGTGAAAGACATGCTGATAGAATGCCACATTTTGTAATAACTCTTCCCTTATAATGGATTTATACACGCAGGTTGGCAAAACATATTTCACCGGTGGTAATAGTACTGCATTTCAGTTGAGTCCATTCTTTTACAGAGTTTCACAGGGGCATTATGGGTTCCCTTTTTTTGGTCATTGTTAATGGAATAGTTTCACATTTTGGGAATTCCTTTATTTGCTTGCCATCCAAGAGTTAGACCCTCGGTCTCCTAAAAGTTACGTTACCATATGATATGTCAAATACGTTTCGATGTAAATGAATTTGTTCTCTCGTTCTTCGTTTGTGTTCGACGTAGCGTAATCATGTTTCAAATGAAAGTCTGCGTAGAGTTCTGTGGGTAAATAGGTCAAACACACTACTACTGCTAAACCAAAAGTCAAATGTGCATTTTAACTTAAGGATTCAGTAGGCTTGTGTGACATACTTTATTGAGGTCATGTAGGTCACTTTTCTAGGTCAATTCAATCTGAACCATTATCCTTTACTTTAAATATCCAAGTAGTTTTGATTGCTACTTTTGTTTAAATTCACAATGATTCCCGGTGTATAATTGCGACTGTAATCCGGAAAAGAAAATACATAATTCAAAATGCAGTTTTCTTGTATGGCAGCGTAGGAGACAGGATCAGAAGATATTTACCACTCTCATGTCTGTGCTTTCAATTCTGCATAACATAGCATAGCTCCCAAAATGCTAAACTATTCTCTAACGACCTGTATATTTTTGTAAATATTGTAAATACTCTAAAATGTTAAGCGGTTAAGAGTGTGTGCAAATTCTGTTCTTGTACTTTAAGATTAGACCAGTTTATCAGTTACAAGTTAATACCTTTTATCATTTTAAAAGTGATAAAAGAAGAATCATGATGTTACAAATTAGGACCCCGTCCATTTCCCCACGGACCCTTTTGAGTTTACATTCACAAACACAGGAAATCCTCACAATTGCGAGACGGTATGAAGTGAAATATTTGGCATTTCTTTTTGATGAATAATGAAAAGTTCAATCCAGTGAATGTTTCTCAGCGTATCAGACAGTCAGAGCAGATGTTTGACACTATACAGCCACAGTGTGCAGTGTAGATCTCTTGTCTCGGCACTGACTGTTATATAAGCTGCAGCTCATTGCTATGGACATATCTTTTATTTTGCATCACCCGACTGCCCCCCCCCCCACCCCAGAATAATATGAATGTTTGCTGTAGTGCCTCCCTCTACCCTGGATGTGTTTCTCAGAGTGTGTGTGGGCCCTTTGAACTCCAGAACCATGTCAAGAAAAACAGAATGTATATTATCTCAAAGCTTTTTATCTTATGTAAACATGTGTAAAGCTTTCTACAGAGGGAACAGAGTCTAAATATATATTTGTGTATAAAATTATATTTTGGAATATATTTACCAAGAGAAACCTATTGTCTTGTATGTGTGTTACTGTACTGTGAACTGTGGATATGCTCATACAACACACACGTGTGTGTGAGGGGATTTATTCATAGAGGCCTCATGGCACGGCTTCCTGACACTTCAACTGATAAATATGGAGATACAAAATGATTCACCTTTTTAAAATCTATTTGATATATAGAGTATAAACCAAGTCCACTCTTTGATACAAACTAACTTTGACATCATATTTATTTACATTTGAAGCTATTGCAAGTCATTGTTTATTGTGTCATAAACCATGTGATAGGTTTGATGAGTATGATCAGACAGAATACAACTCCTATCACAATCACTATCACAGTTTGTCATCATCTAATGTTACTATACTGTTTTGTACAGTGTATCATTTTCTAACTCAAAATATATTTTCATATAAAGTAAGGAAATCACTGTTTTTGTTTTTTAAATGATGGCAATAGTTATTAACTTTATTCTTCACAAAGTCTAGGTAAATAATGGTATCCTTACTTTATGTATTGTCATAGAGAAAAACCCTTATTTTCACAACTATGAGGTGAATCCCCTCAAAATAATGAAAACAAATGGATCAACGGTTAAAGATGGCAGCAATAAACCAAAATGAAAGTTGAATGTGTGATGTGTGTGTATATATCAAGAGGATGGAATGGAGGGTGGAAAAAATCCAACTCAACTGTTTTCCAAAACACTTTATTGAGTAGTTGAGCCTCTTGGGAACATTAGAGCTTGTTTGTTTTAGCAGACATGTGGCCAGGTGTGTGCCTAACCTTCAGTTCCTCAGTAAATAAACAGCATGAGATGTGGTGCACCCCCCATGTCCTGCAGAGAGGGAAGCCTACGATCAGCGCTCATTGTGGGATCTCTGCTTTCTGACATTCCTTTAGTTTTGAGGTTCTCTTATCTACTGTCCATCTCCCATGAGTAATTACCCGCTAACTCCAGCTGTTAAGTGGCTGAGCGCCATGTTGTGTCCTGGATCTAATCTTCTCCATTCAGATCATTTTGGAATATTCAATCAAACTGATCATACAGTTCATGAGATGTATTCAAAAATATAAACATGCCCCCATGCTTACTGCCTCAGTGCCTCGTCTCCTTTAAATGATGTTAACCTTAAACAAAACTGAAATCTAAAATATGCTTTGAGGGAAACTTATTTCACATATCGCAAATAAGAGTAATTTATTATTACGTATGCAATTTAACTTACATTACACACTTACTACAACATACTGATGACGTCTGCATTGACTTATTTCAACTTAGATATATGCATTTCAACTGTATAACATTCTTAACTTGGGCAAATAACCTTTGTTACGGAGCAAACTCATTCTGACCTAAAACAGGATCTTTTACCAAAACCTAACCATGTTTTATGTTTCACTTCACAACGTTAAGCATGTGTTTAAAACTGCCACTGTAATCTGGGGGAAAACATGTTTACCTCGAAAGTAAATGAAAATACAGTTGAGTTGTAGTCAGGCATCATTTTTAGGAGACAAGGGGGCCATATGACATAGTGATGCTGTATCAGATCAAATAGGCGTTATTATGGAAGCAAAAGATGCCTTTCCATAGGACTTATAGTTACTGCTGAACAACAGCTGTAAGTGGAGCACAAATCCACCATCTAGTTATTGATTGTATTTGTAACCATTTGACTACCTCATGTTTTTCTATGAATGTGTACTTTTTGTTCTACGTGTGTGATGTCATGTGTGTGAATGTTTCGTGCCTATGTTTGAACTCAACACTAGTTAAATAGATGAAACTGCAGTTGGATGGTTCGGGCCCCTTTGTGGTTTTACTGCAGTTTTATTTATCAAACCATGAAGAGTTTGATCTTTCCCATGATGCCAAGATTGCCTTTTTTCGGGTGTTTGTAAAAATGTGTAAAACTTTTCATGATTTTATTTTGTTTTGGAATTTTATAAGCTGTAAATAAGCATGACATCTGTATACCCATTATGTCCAATAAATCTTCATAACAATGTACCAGACTGCTGTTTGATGGTTTCTCGTCAGTGTGTGAGGGTGCTGTATAACTGATGTGTAATGATGATGTGTTGGGCCTGAAGTCATGACTCCTCTGGTGAGATCATAGCGTGATACAGACCATGCGGTCTTCTGGCTGGAACCTTTGGGGGTTCCTTACCCCCCCCCCCCCCCCCCCCCCCCCCCCAAGAACAGCACTCTCTCCATCTTTGTTTTTGATTAGAGCTCCTTTACCGCTAAAGGTAGCGTGCCTGGCACACTGAAAATAATGAACCGTTGATTTTAATACATGTATTATGCCAACAGTCAATCAATCAATCAATCAATTTATATAGCCCAATATCACAAATGTTACACTTGTCTCAGTGGACTTCGCAGTTTGTACAGAATATCAGTATGACAATACGACACTCTCTGTCCTTAGACCCTCACATCGTACAAGGAAAAACTTTAAAGGGGAACATGGGAGAAACCTCAGGGAGAGCAACAGAGGAGGGATCCCTCTCCCAGGACGGACAGACGTGCAATAGATGCCGTGTGTAAATTGAAAAGATAATACATTTGCAACATAGGTAGTCCAAATGTTTGGAAATGCATGTGTGTATAATAGGAAGATGAATCCACGAGGATATCCATCCAGGACCTATGATCCAGGACCACAGCCACGACTCAAGATCCAGGGCTCGCGATCCAGGACACAGGATCATCCATGACTCCGGATCCCAGCGTATATAGACACCAAAAAGAAAGACATTTGGGGAAGCTGGGTTAATCGGAACATGAGAGTACACAGGTATAGACAGAGAGAAGGAAGAAGTAAGATGTCCCCCGACAAACTAAGCCTATATCAGCAAAACTAGGGGCTGAATCTAATCAGCCCTAACTATAAGCTTTATCAAAAAGGAAGGTCTTAAGCGCACTCTTAAAAACGGATAGGGTGTCTGCCGCCCGAACACAAACTGGAAGCTGATTCCACAAATGTGGAGCTTGATAAGAAAAGGCTCTGGCTCCCATTGTACTTTTAGAGACTCTAGGAACAACCAACAACCCTGCATTCTTGGAACGCAATGCCCTAGTAGGACAGCAGGGTATAATGAGTTCTTTAAGGTAAGATGGCGCCTGCCCATTAAGGGCTTTGTAGGCGAGAAGAAGAATTTTAAATTCTATCCTGTGTTCTATAGGGAGCCAGTGTAAGGCAGCCAGAACAGGAGTAATGTGGTCCCTTTTCCTAACTCTGGTTAGTACACGAGCTGCAGCATTTTGAATCAGCTGAAGCGACTTAACTGACTTCTTGGTACACCCTGATAATAAAGAGTTACAATAATCCAGCCTTGAAGTAACAAATGCATGGACTAGTTTCTCTGCATCGTTTTGAGGCAAGATATGCCTGATTTTTGCAATGTTACGTAGATGGAAGTAGGCGGTCCTTGAAATTGATTTTATGTGGGTGTTAAAGGATAAATCCTGATCAAATATAACACCAATATTCCTTACAGTCTCACTGGAGGCCAAATTAATGCCATCCATAGTTAGTATATCTTTAGATAATTTGTTTCGTAGATTCTTCGGGCCAAGTACAATAACTTCAGTTTTGGTCGTGTTTAACATCAAAAAGTTCAAGGTCTTCCACGTTTTTAAGTCCTTGAGGCAGTCTTGAATTTTATTTAGATGATTAATTTCATCAGGCTTGATTGATAAATATAGTTGAGTATCATCCGCATAACAATGAAAATGTACAGAGTGATTCCTTATAATATTGCCTAACGGAAGCATATATAATGTGAACAAAATAGGTCCGAGCACTGAGCCCTGTGGCACTCCATGGCTAACTTTGGTTTGCGTGGAAGATTCATCGTACAAACTGAGAGCGTTTAGATATATAGGACCTAAACCAGCCTAAAGCAGTTCCCTGTATGCCAACTAATTATAAGATGTTTTTATTTAAATGTATAAAACAACAGAACGATGTGACCTTAGAAAATAAGAAACCAAGATATTTAGGATCAGAAAGGATTGTATTGATAGAAAAGCTGCCTTTCATGAAGCAGATTCAGGCAGCAGCCTACACACCAACACTGAAACACATGAGCACATACTACAGTTTAAAAAACAGAAATAAAATCAGAGCTGACAGAAATGCTCCATTTTAGTTTCATACACACAGTTCAGCTCACACACACTATTTTATGAACAGATTCACACAGTATTAGCCTAAGAACAGTACGGCTCACAGAGAAGAGATAACATCTGATCCTTTACAACAAACACTGTATGATCTTTTTTGATTTACTCAAACTTTAATCCTGATAGTGATCCCCATATTTCAGAAATGCAGTAATTGAATGTAACTAAGACAAAATAGGTGCCTTTTTTCTGCTGTATCCTGATTACGTTATCCCGTATGAAGTAATCCATTACTCCCCAGGCCTGGGTGCAGTACAGAGCGAGGGGCCACTTTTCATGCTAGCTCAGCTTTGGATTGGCCCCTAAAGCCTCTGTGATGTCACATGTCACCATCATGCTGCGATGCTCTCATCCATCTAATGACTAATATTGATTTTCAAATCATAGACACACTGTAGATCCTGTCATTTTTTACACTCCCAGCGTCCCCCCATGGGTACCTGGAGCACACAATTGTTCTTTGGCTTTTACACTCTTGCATTTAATCCGTTTAGTCACTGATTGAGCGTCCCCCAGACAATATGCATGATAAATCCAGGATCAAATTAAAGGGAACTTTAGTTTTAGGCTGGGCTAATTCAGACCAGACCTTTGCTCCTAAACATGATTACTTGAATTAAGTTAAGTCAGACGTTCTGGAACGTTCTGGCTGGTTTACAACATCGGGGGGGGGGGGCTTTGCACAATCACATTCACATTAGCTAAAAGAGTACAAAACAGACCTTTCACACATAAAGAAACCAAATACTTGCAGAGATACTAGACGTGTTTCCGTTCAAGAGTCAGGTAAACTTTCAACATTTTTGGGAGACAGAAATGTGAATTTGCATCAACTGTTTCAAAGTGAATAATACTAGATGTTGTGTAGTACGTGTAGCTTCATCAGAAATTGGCAGTATGAGCTGCTATGTTTTACACATGGCTGAAAAATAATAGAACAATAATCAAACTAATTGCAAAACAAGCGGAAACTGAAACAAGTGTAACCCGAGAGAAACATATTCAAACCATCAGAATGAAGAATTAAAAGCTGCTTTATGTGTCTTTTCATCAGTCAACTCATTTGGAATAGGTCATCAGTTCAGCGCGCCTCATATTCCTCTCATTTCAGTTTGAACATGGAGAACATATTAAAGTCGCATTGTGTAATGCATCGACACATGCCCCAATCAAAACCACTGCAGCATTTCATCATTCCTTTTTGCAATGCATTGTTTTCCTTGGATTATATGTTTGCCATTCCAAATGACGTTCGACTTGAATTATTCGGCTGCATGAGGAACACTGTTTTGTTGAGTTGAACAATTCTTGTGGACTGTAAATGGACATTTGTGCAAGCCGAGTGATCTTATAATAAAATGAAGTGATTTCTCATTTTGTATAATTTAGCCACGCTGAGGAAAACATTAACATAAACACAGATGAATGCCTCAAAAGTAAATATCAGACCCACTTTTCCTTCATCTTTGAGAATTTTGTATCTGTTTCTACAACATAGAGTGTAAAGGTTAGTCACATTGTGTCACGACACCCTAGCTTACTAGTTGTTATGAAGCTAAACATGTTGTGAGCTGTAATGTGTATATCTAATACTAGCAAAATAAAAAGTAATTAAATTAGACCGCACCCATTTAGGAGACAGAACGTCTACACCAGGGGTGTCAAACTCAAGGCCGGGGGCCAAATCCGGCCTGTGACTTCATGTTATGCGGCCCAACAAGAGCTTGCAAAGAATATAATATGTTTATTATACGGTTACATGCCGATTTTCAGAAGACCATAAACTACATGTCCTACAATGCACCTCAAATTTGACTTATTTCTCAGAATTTGACTTTTCTTTCTTCAAAATAAGCCTTTTTCTTAGAACGTGACTTTTTTTTCAGAATTTGTCTTTTTTTCAAAATGTTACTTTTTTTTTCACTTCTTATTTTCTTTTTTTACTTCTTTCTTTTTAATGTGACTTTTTTCCAGAATGTGGTTTTTCTTTTCAAATCATTTTGTGACATTCTCACTGACGAGACTTGCAATTATTTGCCCTAGACTTCTGCTCTCAGACATAGTTAATTATAAAGTTATTACCCTATCCGATAATAATTCAATGCAGAGGCAATAATGTCATATAATACATTATTTAATATATATAACATATATATAAATGTGTATTTACTATTTATATAGTCTTAAAGTTACAACTGGCCCTTTGAGTGCAACCATAATGCTAATGTGGCCCGAGATGAAATTGAGTTTGACACCCCTGGTCTACACCATTCTGTACCATTGGTGTTTATTGTAATACGCTATCTTCACTCATAAAAACCAAGCCGCCAGGATGACATTGAAGCAAATGTTCATAGTGGATACATGGGGGTACTACAACTTGTTGGAATGTCATTGGTCGCAAAAATAATTGTTCCCTTTACTTAAATTGGGAAAGAGTAGTCTGTAAATAAAATCATTTTGAGCTAACTATGAACACTTGAAAAGCCCTTATTCAAATCACTGGGTCCTAATCTTGTAAAATCAGTTATTTTAGGGTTCCATTCAGTTGACTCAGCTGGGACTGGACATGACGGAGCGTAGAAAGGCCATGCTTAGCAAAAACACAAGTGCACATGCTCTCTAATCCCCAGTTGATCCGTATATTAGTTTACTCAAAAGTCAGGACATTTGATTTGTACCACTGATCAGCAGGCACCTCCTCCATCGTTGTATCCAGTTCTGAGTAAAATACATTTTAGAAAATGTTTATACAGTATGTGGGCTACTTGTTGTGTATTGGACCCTTTAAACTGGCGTTGTGGAAAATCGACAGT